TTGTATGCGCATACATTGTCTGTGAAAAACAACCCCTTTTAATGTTCTTTTCTGTACGAGCATGGTGTCCGCCTTGTAATGGAAGTGCCCCCCCCCCCCCCCCCCCCCCCCCCCCCCCCCCCCCCCCCCCCCCCCCCCCCCCGGGAATAGTGTCCTAAGGCTTGTATTGGGGGCAGTTATTATCAGAGTGGTATGATATATCTTATCCATGAAATAAACATGAAACATTTGCATTTGTATAGCCAGGGCTCCACACTAACTCTTTTGGTTAAGGGTCCAGATCTAAATCCCAGGCTCCCCTTGTATTGGGCTCTGTATTGAAATTGTTCACTTTTGGGCTCCCAGACCTGAATTTTAGGCGCCCATGTGTTCCGGGCGCCTGCTAATATCAAGCCCTGGTATAGCTAAGGAAATTGTAAAGCATAAAGGTAAAGCTTTTTTGATGTTTAAATTTTATAATATGTTTCTTTGAATACATAGTTTGAATGCATTTCTTGAGACAGTGTGTAGTTATTAACCGGTATAACACATGCAGCAATCAAGTAAATATAAAAGACAGCACAGGACAAATCTTGCCCACCTTTGTCAGTGACGTTCATTTTGCACATGGTTAACATGGAATGCTTCTTTGTTTTGGCCTTTCCTCAATTAGCCTTTTGCTCTTTTTTGCTGAAAAAAATTAGCTCTTTTTCATATGTATTCTCTCACCTTCTTGTAATTTACAGATTGTTGCTTCCATTCTGCTATTGATGGATGAGGATGAGCTCAAGAAGTTTGTGCCACTATTGGGGGATAGACTAGCACTGCACAAATTTTCAGAAGAAAGCACTCAGAAAGTGTCTACCAGCTCATCAAAGTCTTCCAAAAAAGACTCGCTTCTCTGTAAACTTAGACAGAAATTGGGGATGAAAAGAGATAGGGAGGATGGTGAAAATAGTATTGGGTATGAAGATTCTGCAAGTTGTTCCTATGGGAGAACTCATAAAATGCTAGGGAACAAAAATGCTGAAAGATTGGACAGAAGAATAGATGTCGGATGGATGGACTTTGATCATATGTTAGGCAGATACAAGCAGGTACGTAAGACGAACGGAGGAGGCATCAGATCTCTGTCTGTGTCTAAGCTATGCAAGCCTGCTGAACTGCTACAAATTGTAGAAGAGCTCTTCTTCCCGGATGGCATTTCAGCTAAAGGGGAAAAAGAAAACTTTGAATGCTCCTTAGTGGACTTTCGACAGCAGCCTCTTGAAGGAGATGTTGGACAACTCTACAGCAGATCAAAAATGCCAACCCTTAGGTTTTACCTGCGCACAGTGTCCAAAGTACAGGAGCATGACAAATCTAAGGGCAAGTCAAAGGGCAAGTCAAAGGTCAAGAAGAGGAGGACGGTTCATGTGAGGGATCATGAATATGATACAAGTAGTAGTGAAGCTGATTTGCCTGAAATTTTGCTAAATTCTGGTGAACATTCTACAAGCACCCACTCTTCATCTTCATCTGTATGTTGTCTGGAAGATGACAGTACCAAGTCCAGCAACTTATTTTCGGGAGTGAAGGAACTTGCAGACTCACCAACTATTTCATTTGGGCCATCGCACTCTACTCCAACGCAGGAACAGCTCGATGTCACGATTAGGGACCCAGTTAACTCATTGCCAGCTGAACAGATATTGGCTGAAGTCATTACTGATGAGCCATCAACCTTTGTGCATGAAGAACATCAGCATGAACAACAAGCAGACCAGCAGATTCCTATGGCTGAAGATCAGATGAATGACTTTCCAACTGTATATGTAGAGCTGGTTGAAGGACAGACAAATGACTTTCCAACTAACCAAACACAATTTGAAGTTCTCCTCATTCGAAGAAGTTATTTAATAACAGATATGATGAATGCTTTTTCGGACGAAAGCATACTGAAGGCTAATATTGCTGTCCATATGATTCTCCATGATGGGAATCTAGAGAAGGGCCAGGGTAACGGAGTATATAAGGATGCCATAACCCAATTTTGGGATGAGGTGTATGAACAGATGACAAGTGGAGACTCTTCAAGGATACCTGTCTTGAGACATGATTATGGGGAGAAAGAATGGCAGACACTAGGACGCATCATCACAAAAGGCTGGTGGGACCACAAGTACTTTCCCATCAGGTTGACACAAGACTTTATGGTTAATGCAATCTGGGGATCCACGTTCTGTAATGGTGACATGGTGGAGGCCTTCCTAAGTTTGCTCCCAGAATCAGAAAAGGAAGTCGTGAAATCAGCACTTAGTAATTTCCCCGAAGACATTGAAGAGCTCATTGATATCCTGAGTGGCTATGATTGTCGAAAGGTACCAACAAACGAAAACTTCAGCTGTCTCCTTTCAGAGTTGGGCCATAAGGAAATCATCCAAAAGCCAATGTACATTGCTGACTGCATGAGACCAGTCCTTCAAAACCTTCAGAATGAGCTGACCCAGGAAAGCTTAAGTGAAATATATGCTTCACTGCATCCGACATCGAAAAAAGTGATTGACAAGTTGGAGTTCTCAAGGGATCTCTCACCCAATGAGCGGGCGGTATCAACGTACCTGAAGAAGTACTTGCGGTCATTAAACCAAGGCATGCTGAGAAGATTCCTTAGGTACTGTACAGGATTAGATATTCTCTGTAACTCAGATATCAGGGTTACATTCTGTTCCTTGGATGGTCTCCAGAGGAGGCCCATTGGCCACACTTGTGGTAACGTGATAGAATTGTCATCCACCTATGATGACTATATAGAGTTTAGACAAGAGTTTAATCACATTCTAGAAAGTGGTCTATGGGTTATGGATGCTCTTTAAATACTTTTCAAGGAAAGGAGCTATACTCAAGAATGTTGTGCAGAATTACAAAATGCTAGGTTGAATGTGGAAGAGAGTCACATAATCTTAAATGAAATATTCTTTTTATTGTTTTACAAAACCTATTACTGGGTAATATTTGTTTTATGATGTTTGAATATGATTGACTTTTTTATCAGACTGCATGGTCATTGTTGATTAAACAGGGTATATTCATATCAGACTCCTTTTTAGGGTTATGGTTACAATTATTTTACCTTTGTGATCTGAAAGTTCTTCTGTGCTCGGAGACGAAGTGGGGACTATAATTTTACGTGTGACCTGAGAAAGAAGCAGAATCGTATGTACGATATGGTAATAAAGGCTTTGGAATGATATGTATTTTTCAAAGCCTTTGTAGGTTTCATCTTATGGTGATTGAACATACGATTGTTTAAGATCAGCGCTCTAGTTGTGTATTTGGTTTGTGTAGCAGGTTTTGGCTGTAACAGTTTGCCAAAGTTAATGTTATAGTGGTTATTTTAAAGGAAGGTTTTACTACCATTTAGGGGTCAAAGTTAAAAGATCAATGCTCATTTTTTGATGAAAAGTTTTACATTTTTATACTGGGTCTAAGTATTACCTCAGAAATGGACTTTAATCTAAGTATCATGGAATGATAAATTACTGGTGTTTGATCCAAGATTCAAAGTCAAAGGTCACAGAAGTCAATTTACACCAAAAAAATAATGACACATTTGGGGGCTATTTCAGTATTGGTGTAATTGCTAGGAATGGCAAGGCTCTTGACAACATATTTGTGCGGGTACAGTGTTTTCACAGAAGGCGGAGGCATATGTATCTGTAGTTTTCAATGTACATGTATGACTTTGCACAATTCAACCATAGGAGGGGTTGTCAATAGGATATCTTGAAAAATTAATGACTTATATGCCAATGTTTCATATTTTATGTTTCAAGCAGAATGGTATGTATACGATTTGGTAATAAAGGTTTTGGAATGATGTGTATTTTTCGAAAGGTTTTGTAGGTTTGATCTTATGGTGATTGCACATACCATTGTTTAAAATCAGCGCTCTTGTGTATTTGGTTTGTGTTGATGTTTATATTTTTATCTAAGGTTTTGGCCGTAACAGTTTGCCAAAGTTAATGTTGTAGTGGTTATTTTAAAGGAAGGTTTTATTACCATTTAGGGGTCAAAGTTCAAAGATCAATGCTCATTTTTTATTGAAAAGTTTAACATTTTTATACTGGGTTTGACTTTGCACAATTCAACTTTGAAAAATTAATGATTTATATGCCAATGTTTCATATTTTATGTTTCAAGCAGAATGGTATGTATACGATTTGGTAATAAAGGTTTTGGAATGATGTGTATTTTTCGAAAGGTTTCATAGGTTTGATCTTATGGTGGTTGCACATACCATTGTTTAAAATCAGCATTCTAGTTGTGTATTTGGTTTGTGTTGATGTTTATATTTTTATCTAAGGTTTTGGCTGTAACAGTTTGCCAAAGTTAATGTTATAGTGGTTATTTTAAAGGAAGCTTTTGTTACCATATAGCGGTCAAAGTTAATGTTATAGTGGTTATTTTAAAGGAAGCTTTTGTTACCATATAGGGGTCAAAGTTAAAAGATCAATGCTCATTTTTTAATGAAAAGTTTTACATTTTTATACTGGGTCTAAGTATTACCTCAGAAATGGACTTTAATCTAAGTATCATGGAATGATAAATTACCGGTAAACTTAATTCTTTGATCCAAGATTCAAAGTCAAAGGTCACAGAAGTCAATTTACACCAATAGATATGACACATTTTGGGGTTATTTCAGTATTGGTGTAATCGTTAGGGATGGCAAGGTTCTTGGCAACACATACATGTATGTACGTGCAGGTACTATGTTTTCACAGAAGGCGGAGGCAGCTGTAGTTTTTAATGTACATGTATGACTTTGCACAATTCAACCATAGGAGGGGGGGGGGGGGTTGTCAATAGGGTATCTTGAATAATCAATGATTTATATGCCAGTGTCTCAGTATCAAAAGAATGATCTAAAATACACAAAAGTCTAATGATCCAGTCATCCATCGTTAAAGTAATGATATTATTTTTTATGTGGTAACTTTGCAAACACACATAAAGAATCATTTCATACAGACTCTTTGCATACTTTACCATCAGAGCGAGGATTTATTTATTATGTTGAGGTCAAAGATTTGAAAATATCTGATATGGCTGAGCAACAGTTAGCTGTGTAGCTACAGTAACATGGTCTATCCACACTGTCCAATTCATTTAGTTTTACTGATATAATGTCATAGAGGTTAAAAGGTATGGTCTTGAAAATATAAATATGGCTAATGGAAAGCAATAAAACACTGGCACAGCATGGTTATAAGACATTTATAAACCCCGAAGAGGATATTTTGTGAACACATGGTCTGACTATTCTTTGTTATTTAATTGTTTGGTTATTTACAGTCAGAAAAAAAACATGAGGGCCTTACATTATATTTACATTGCTCAAAAAGCTTGTAAATAGTTGACACACAGTATGCAAGTTACATGTACGTACATTATTGTATAGTCGTATAATATTTCTGTAGCAATTACTGTTCAGGGCGTATATATTTAAGACCAGTGCTTTTAAAGGAAAATTAGAAGCAGCAACACTCATATAATTAAAGGAAATGATTCATCCTCAACAAGTCATTATTACCATCTTTTAGTGTCCTTTGTTGTTTCAGTAGGGTTGTACCAACCATTTCCCACAATATTAGTGTAAGCAATAAAATGTGTTCATAAAACATCTACATGTAGTTTATACAGTAGAAACTCGGTATAAAGAGATCTGATATAACAAAACTCCTGATATAAAGAGGTAAAATCCGGTCCCAGCTCTCTATAACTTATTGTTTAATAAACCTGCTGTATAAACAAGATTACTGCTATAACAAGGTACATGTATTTTTGATGGTCCCAAGCACCTCGTTATACTGAGTTTCCACTGTATACACATGTATTTAAAGCAGAAAAATAAAAAACAATTAATTAATAATATTTCTGCTGGACTGTGTTATATAAAGTTTGGGTGAGATATGCGGACTCAAATATAAGCATATGTACATGAACTTGCCACAATAATCAAAACACTTCAAATAAAACTTGTTTTCGTTTTCGTTCAGCTTGTTATGTCATTAACTGTCGTTCATATTTAACACCGAATAAGCAAGAACACTCCTGTCTCAGTAAAGTATATTTTTATTGTAAGACAGTACTAGCCTTTGAAAGAAATTAATTCAAGAACTCTGGATAATGAACGAATAGCATTACCGTAAAAACGTTAGCATCAGTTTGGCATTGTGATATGATATCACTTTTTATCAAAGTTATTATAAAGTCCTTTATACAAATATAGGAACACTTATTGCTACCCTCTGTTATGAAGAAATAGAAATATGGATAATACTAAACACAACAAAAATAGTTTACCCCCCCCCCCCCAAATGAAAGTAGCATAACTTTTGAACGGGTTGGTGTTTAGTAACAAAATTTGCAGATAAAAGCATGTGTGCAAAAATGAGCATGATTTTAATTGTAACGCCTGAATGGTCACACATGAAACAAAAAATGTCACTTTTTTAAAATCACATATGAATCCATTTTTAGGATAAAAACTGAACAAATAATGGGTAAAACCTTACTTGGATGGATGTGTATTAGTGTCTTTTTGTTATGTTATCAATTATCACACTCTATCCTACTAATCTGGGCACTTTTTACGATCCGATTGCAAAATTGACCTTTTTTGGCGAAAAATGCACTTCCCAATATTTTCACGAAAATCAAGCTTAACCCCCAAAAGGCGTTAAAAAGAGTTGTTTTTCTTGAAAAATATGTCCATCCATGCGCAAAACTAATGGTCAGATGAATAGGAGTCTGAAGATTGGTATAAAAGCAAAAAATTTATTTTTATTGTACACGAGAACCATAATTTACATAATTTTTGGTACATATGGTGCTCATAAAAATACCCTTGTGACTTTTGAAAAGTGACATTTTTTTCTTGACCTTTGTTCATTCATGAATATAGGATTATGCTGATTTTTACACATACGATAACAATATAGTTGATTAATATCACCTGCAAATTTTGTTACTTGACACCTCCCAGTTAAAAAGTTATGTCACTTTCCTTAGGGGGTAAAAACATTTTTGTTGTGTTTATATGCAGATCATTTTAAGCAATGTGGTGAATATGTGAATAAAAAAAAAACGGATCAGACGCTTCAGTCTTCTAGTCTTCTTTGAAGAGAGGAAAGATGTCATTGTGGGGAAAGGTATGAATAAGTCTTGGTTGCTGATCCAAGCATTGTAGAAAAATATCTACTTGTGTTTTTCATTTAATATCAAAATACACATGCAATTAATGCAAAATACTCTGATTAAATCATCCTCAGCAAGTGCATTCTCAAAGTATGATATAGGTTCAGTCCTTCTTCGCTATTCTGCGGTACAGGTAGTTGTTCTTCAGTCATCAGGATCGAGCAAAGGTCAAATACGTCTCTGTCACAAGGGTACTGACTTTTGAAAGTACATTCTTCCTCGCATACTTCAACCTCATCGTTTTCCAACGGCACAAGAAAATCTTGTGTTCCATACACCTGGGGTGTCCTGTACATCACGTTGGGGCGACCAAATGGTCCACACTGGTTCCTTGATTTGCTGATTCTATGAGCGTTCCATTCCTTAGCAACCTTGTCCAGTTCTTCCTGTTCCATATACAAAGAAGAAGAAAATAAATATTATTATTATACATTTGATAAAAATATACTTTTTTCATTTCTTTAAGGATTTATCGCTAACATATTTTAAGAGATTTCAGCTGACAAGTATTCAGTTATGGAGTGGGTTATCCATGGTGAAGTACTGAGAAAATATCAAAACCCTCCAATGGCGTAGCTAGGATTTCATTTCAGGGGGGCGGTAAGGATGAGCACGCGAAGCGTAAAAATTACATACCGCGCGCGCCCTAGGGGGGAGGGTGCAGGGAGGGGGGTTAATTCTCGCGTTTTTAAATTAAGCAACGTAATGATAATAATAATGATAATAATCATAATCACAATAATAATAATAATAATAATAATAATAATAATGATAACAACAACTGGATTTTATAGCGTCTTTTCCAGAGGATACAAGGCGCTATTTTCCAGCTATCCGGTGACATAAGATTGATTGTGATTGGTTTAAAAAGGGGCCCTTTTCAAATTTTATGTTTAGTGCACAATGTTGGTAAAAGTTGAGCCATGAAAAATAAATTTATTTTATTTTGTTATTTTGGGATGAAAGCAGAACATACCCCCATCCAAATTAAAGGCTTAAGTGAGCTATTGGGATCGCTCGACCTCGACCAACACTTCTAGAGCTGGTTAACAGCATGAACACATATCAATTTACCTGAATTAGATTCATGAAACAAAACTGCAGCAGTGACTTGTCCAGGTGATCTCCAGTAAAGTGACCTTGATCTTTCACTTGTCCAAACATGTTCAGCCAGAACTGTATAGAGTGCTTTCTAAGGACGCCCCACCAACTCTCTATTCTTTGGTTATGCTGGCTCGTTCCTTGCATAAAACTCTTTTCAGACGCAAGTGGGTCGTCACCATTTCTGCGCAGAAATTGTTGCATTTGGCGGACAGTGTTATTCTCTGTTCCAAAATCTGATCGAATGACACGAGGACATCCCATCTCTTTCCTAACCGTTTGCATGTAGTATCCAGCTATTACTCTGGGATTATTGTTTGTCGTGTAAGCTTCTAGCCAAACTACCTTCCTTGAATAGCCATCTACACATCCATTGATGCAGATTCCAAAAGGTTTTAATTTGTCATAGGAGTCTAGATGCCATATAAAGTTTGGTCCCCGTCCTCGATATAAACGCCTTCGTAGCCTTCTACGTGATCGGTATTCAAGACCTATTGGGTCTAACACTCCGAGTAGATGCCGAACAGTTTCTTTGTCAATGTTGATACCATTTTGGATGCATTTCAGGTGCATCCATCGATAACCATGTAAGCACCCTGAACTCTGAAGTTCCTGTAGAATAAAGCAAGCTACATCTAACTCATCAGTATGGTTTTTACGACGATAAAGACCAAGGTCTCGCAACTTTCTGTTCAATGTTCGTTTGCTTATCGCTACATTGTGATTGAATAAAAGAGAAGCAATGATTTCGTTGTAATTATATCCTAAATTAAAGTAATTCCGAACCAAGCCTTCACATTCCATTGCCACAAGAAGGTCCTGTTCCAAAGGATCGTGAGATACATTGAAAACGTAAAAGGGTATAGCTATAATGCAGCTCCAGATGTCCTGTCCTGCACGCTTGACCGGCCATCAGTTATGTATTTGTAACAACGTGATTTTCTATTATAGAACGTAACATGCAGACTACGGTAATCTGTAATAACAGATTATAATCTGTTTAAACAGATTAGAAGAAATATCGTAATCTGTTATAACAGATTAGTAGAAATACCGTAATCTGTTTAAACAGATTATAATCTGTTTAAACAGATTAGTTGAAGTACTGTAATCTGTTTAAACAGATTAGTAGAAATACCGTAATCTGTTTAAACAGATTAGTAGAAATACCATAATCTGTTTAAACAGATTATAATCTGTTTAAACAGATTAGAAGAAATATCGTAATCTGTTTAAACAGATTAGTAGAAATACCGTAATCTGTTTAAACAGATTAGTAGAAATACCGTAATCTGTTTAAACAGATAATAATCTGTTTAAACAGATTAGAAGAAATATCGTAATCTGTTTAAACAGATTAGTAGAAAGTGTGTTTTTTTTTCTTCGTGGCACTAATGGTCTTTCGTAACATCACTCTTCTCGCAGGGTATATTCTATATTATCACCTATTCAACTGGTCCTTAAGACCTTAACTAAGGCTAGGCTTAAGCCTGTGTTCAGAAGAATCCATATAAGTATTGGCAATTATCATGACTGGCAAATTGTGTTAAATCACTGTCATTTCTAGTCTAGCTAGAGTCAGAGTCGTGCACTCACCGACTCAGTCTCACACTCAGTCTCAGTCTCAGTCCTCAGATTATATGAAACATACACCAACCTCCTCAACACAGGATCAATCAACATATTCGTACGTTCAAATACATATATAAGTAATCTTACCACTTTGGGAGAGGTATGGCATCTTTGTATTGATCTTCGGGTTTCTTAGCTGAAATGTAAAATTGTCAAGACCGCATAACACTGCACTGCACTTGATAATGCATGCAATAATGATTACGTGTATAAATTTTGCATGTATAAACAATGATAAAGCTAAGGTCCGCGCGTGCGAGCGCGGACCATTATTTCGGCAAAGACTAGGTAGTGTCAAGACAATTCACTCAGTTTTACTTCCGTAGTACGCTCAGCAGACGGAGGTTGTTCACCATTCACAAATTATTTCCCCGTATTTTCATGAAATGTCTATTTTTTCTTGATATTTCATTTTATTCAATCTTTTCATAGTCTGACTTTTGTACAAGAGAAAGAATAGAGAGTTCAAAAAACATTTCTAACAAAAGCTTCTGCTGAACTTTGGAACAGATTACCTTTAAATGTAAAAAACTGTCAAACTGTTCAAAACTATACTATACTAGTCTCAAGACACATTTATTCAAAATTGCGTTCTTTTTAGTAAGATGTAATTGTATATCAGTCTCTTTTGTGTGTATAGCGCTTAGAGACTTTGGTGGTAAGCGCTTTATAAGTAACGTTTTTATTATTATTATTATTATTATTATTATAAAAACAACTAATTTTAATAATTCCCAGGGACATGATGGACTATAAAGTATAGGCAAGCTCAGTCGACAGTATAGTCCCTATAATACCAGTGAATAAATTACTTGAAATAATGTAAAATGTGACTTACTTGAATTTGTTTAGGGCAATCCAAACTTTGTATTCAGTTAATTTGTATGACAGATGACAAATCTGAGGAACAGAATGACAAAGGTTTGAAATAAATCGGACGATTAAGACTAGTTATGAATGCTTGAATTGGCCTTGATTTGGTCACTGAGTGGATCGTGACCACTCAGAACTGAAAAGTATTTTTTCAAATCGTGATGAATATTCTGTATATAATTGATTTCAGTTTTTCTCCTATGATTATACAATCATTCGCGTTCTCTGTCGGAGCAATATTGAAATTGTCCTTGAGTTGATTTTTCGAAAAATGGTTGCGACCATGTTTTGTTTATTAAGTTGAGATGATGAGTTGAGTCAATTTTATTGACTTTTTCGACCCCATTTTGATCAGTATAACATGCAAATTGATGCAATCAAATACATAACCATATCTCCTGGTGTATATGCCTAGACATATAAAATAAAAAATACAAATGAGAATGAATAATTAATTCATTGTTTATAAACTACAGTATAGATAAATAGTACAACACAATACTTAAAAGTCATATGAATGTTATAAGTTACAAGTCAAGCCGTGAAGACGGCTTAACGTTAGACCGTCTACCACAGCCTTCTTATATGTTTGATTCATGAACTCTTTGGTAAGTAAAAGTGAGACAAAAGTTGCTAGAAAATTATTGTGATTAGCTTTATGAGTTGCTTTAATTAACTGAACTGAAAAGGATTCGCATAATTATAGCACAAACTGTTGGTTTAATTTGTCTGTAACCAATTAAATGACCTTTTAGATGATTTGTCTTTCTTTTGCAAAATATATATGGGCACAAGCATCACCAGAATTACACAGAGAACACTGGACATCGTCAGTATACTGAGTATATACTGAATAAATATATCCATGCAAGAGACCTTCTCTTCACCTTGCATGCAGCCACCATATAGATCTAGGTTTGCAGCCATTTTAAATCATTTATATATTATTCCCATATTTATATAAATTTCGATCATATTAAAAATGTGACTCAAATATGATTTAAAGACCTTCACAGTTTGTATTGAGGCTCAAGGGTTCCAAAACTCCGCATAAAGCCCAGGGACTGTGCATTTTTTTAACGCCCCCCCCCCCCCAAAGGAATGTATACCACAGTAGCTCGCATGCTTAATTTCTTGACGAACCACTCTTTGCTATTGTCTCTCTTTGCCTGCATAGGTAAGCGCGCGCGCGTACCAGCTTGCCAATCTTGGATCTGAGCTGAGTGGATCACCATGTCAGGAGCTATTAAAAAGGTGAAAAACTCGGTTATTCTTCTTACAATTATGTTTTGGAGCTCTTCTTACATATGTTCAACAATCAATCTTTATTTATATCGTTATTGATACACTATTACTACAGGAATTGAGCCAAATAATGTCATGTATTTTGAAAATATATTTTAATTGGAATGTTGCTGACGTTGAAATGATGGTGTGGGACTGTAATAAGTATTACTAGCAGATCACTTGAAGTGAATCGACAGAGGCCCCTGCCTGAGAGCACACATAGGAGTAGACCGAAAGCTTCAGTCTCTATACCGTCGGTTGTTCCACTGAGACTACGTCTGGCTCCACTAGACCTCCGGTTATAGAGACAGAACGATCGCCTATGCCAGCCTATGTTGAAGATATCACAGCTAGATTTTAGCCGTTAGGCCCCTCCCACAAACATGAACAAACTTGCCACGGCCGTATTGTTATGCCCCCAAAATCCCCCAAAATGTCATTTTACCTCGTGCATATCCAATTTTACATTAGGCCTAGGCTATAATACATCGGTTCCACTTACTAACTTGATTGAAATAATCCGTTTAATGGTCCGTTTTAAGGAAATTATGGGTCAAAATCGACATCCATGTTGAAAATCTTGCAAGCCGTGTTAAACTCTCGCTGCCGTCAATCTCATCCCTTCTAGTCTACGCCAAAGGCAAAAATGATTATGAAGGAAAAACTGTGATAACGCCATTACGAACGTGTAGATGGCGCAGAGGTCAATACGCTTTAGCATTGACTCTCTATGCTTTGCTGGAGTGCCTGAGAGGGCGTACGTACGCTCGATCATAAAATATACACTTGACTTCTGTGGCCCGTTTCTCGAAACCGTCATCTCGAAACCGACTTCTTGACTAAATAAGCGTCGGTTAGCTACTTGTCCGCTACGTGTTTCACGAAGCCCTCTTTGCCCAGATCAAACTCAAACCATAGATCAAAATCAAGATCAAGATCGAAGGGATGTGTAATGTGTTATCTGCATCTGCCACGTAGACTGCACAGGGTTGCGTGCGATCTCCATGGGAAGGGCTTTAGCATACATAACCGAGTGCGCAATCAGATACCCTACATTTATTGTGGTTTGAGAAGGAATCCACTCATTCGTCAGCACGTACATTACCAAAAACATGCTTGTGTGTTGAGTGGGAAAAGGGAGGCAAAACCAATGAAATGCTACTGTGCGAAGCAAATTGTGGTTTATGCCTTTATGGTATGGGGGATCTTTTGCAATTACACTTAAATTCAGCATTTTGCCACCATATCAACGCCAGCAAGACACAGACGTCTTAGGAAGGGGAAACATTATCACAAAGTAGGAAACCATCGTCAGAACTATTATTAAACAACACAAGAAGAAAAGTCTAAAAATTAAGAGTCTTCTAATCTCAGACCATACCATACCATACCATACCTTGGAAGTAGGCATAAAGTTATACAAAACTTATTTGCCCCTCGATGTCCTTTAGTGAGTTACTGTTGAATTTGGCGTTGCGCGGTTACGGATGAACATGGACAGTTGAATAGTTCATCAGGATTAAACTTGTCCTTCTTCAGTGACCAGTACTTGTCAAGATTTGATTTGAAATAATTGAGTGATGGACTTTCTGCTACATATGATGGGAGACCATTCCATTCGTTTACTACTCTCTGTAAAAAAAGAGCTCTGCCTCAATTTAGATTTTACATGTTTCTTTTGTCCTAGTCTAGTATGATGGTGTTCATCAAATTTTGCACACATTTAGCAAAAGAAAAAGAATGTGAAATTCAATCAATGATTTCTCATACCGGTATGCTACACATATTTATTTACATTAACTAGTAAATGGATGGCAAAATTCTAACTTCACATGGTGCAACTAAAAAATATATTGTTACAAAATTCCAGAGATATTGCAATCTCAAAATTCAATTAATTCTTAATTCGCTCACAAGAGTTTACAGCTGATTAAAATAGTCATATGAAATTGAAGGCAAAATTTCATACAACCAGTTGGTATAATTTTTTACTAACAATTAAGGTGTATCTTTCCTCCAAAAGAAGATTTCCAGACCTTTGTCAGTGAGTTCATGTTTTGGGGGAACTGTAACAGATGCAAAACACAAACTAAAAAATGAGTTGATCTTCCGTTATCATTAAACATAATTTCTCACCCAATTTCATAAAAATGTTATCACTAGCCACTAGGTGATTGTAGGTTCCTCTTTTCATTTGTGGTTTCAGATTTTCGAAATCTTCTGGTAGTTCTGGATTTGTGAGATATGGAACTGTGCGTGAACTTGGGTCACGCTCAAAGTTTTAACTTTTGTCCTACTAGCAACACTAGTAGCATATAGACCACTAGCTAAGCCCACATATGTGTGTGTAATATAGACAAATTTACCCATCCAAAATATTTCTAATCATATTAATACGTATGTGAGTTGACATTCCTTTCAGTCTGAGTGCATGAGGGGTATACGCCAGCACAATGTAATGAAAAGTGGCTTACCGTAATTATCTAAATTATTGTGTGAATCAATTCTTAAATTCTTATAGAGTATGAGAAATCATGGATCACATAAAATTCCTACCTTATTTCTTAGTCCTATAATCTGAAGATAAAAATGTGTTCCCTGGCATGCAAAATCTATTGCTCTGCAGTGTTTTCATCATTACAATCAGTGGCAGTGCTAGAGCCTGAGATGTGAGTGTTGTGGTTGACTATAAATCTCTCCCCCAAAAAGAAAAAAGAAGAAAAAAGAAGAGAGGTGGACATTTTATTAATCTTATTTTGTTGTTTTTAAGTAAGTCAGTTAAATGAGACACTGCAGTTATCTAACCATTCATTTTGAACATTTTTTTTTGTAGACCACTGGTTTGGTTGGACTGGCGGTAGAGGCTAACCCTCATGAGGTATGTTTAATGACGCCTTTGACGGGCCATACGCATTGATGTTATAGATTCAAATTAGATTTTAATTAGTCTATGGATTGCCCATATTAATAAATATATAGGGAGAAACAAAAATCTCACTCCCATACAATTTTGCCATTTGCTTTTTGTCCATGTGGAGCTTTCCATGATTGTAGTTCTGTAGTGGTGGACTAGTAGTTACATAAAGAAAGTTTGCTTTAAAGTAAACCTGTGGAAGTATTTTGGGCACCCTGAAAGAATTCATATGTTTACTGAAAAAAAAAATTGCTTTTTTATTTTTAGTAGATAAATGAAAATGCTTACTTATTATGCCATACAGAATGTAGATGCTGCAAGTGCATTGTATCTAATTTAGAGCAATATTTTGATGTATTTAAATGTGAATATGCATACATGTATTAGTTTGAATTTTCTTTGTACTTAAAAGTATCTAAGGTAAGTACAATCTTTGAATTTTACACCCTTTTTGACTACAGAAATTGAATACATTTTGTAGCGATCTTTTTACACAGATGTTTGGAATATAAATAATTAATGTGAACCTAATTTTTTGCATTTTACATCTCTTTTAATTACAGAAATTGAAGATATTGTATAACAAGATCCTATCCGCTGTGAAGCAGATGCCTAAAGAGGCATCATACAGACTGTACACTGAGCAGGTTGTAAATGACAGGCTTTCTGTTGTACAATCAGTAAGTTTGCAACATGTTTTTTTAATTGCAAGTACCATACACATTTGTTGTTGCTTCATTCAATTAGCGAGGCACCATTTTTTAAAAAAAGTTTTGAAATCAGTGGCAGAAAGTAAATTTTCTGCAGATGTTTATAAGGTCTAATTGTGACAAAGATTCCATGAGTTATTTTTTTTTTAAATATAATTTTATGTCCTGAGCCAGTAAGTTATTAATAGAAGTTTCTAAATGAAGATATATGAGCCTTATAATATTCAAAGAGACATATGAAGAGGAAAAATTATCATTATTCTTGGATGTTTGTAATGAAATGCTCTCTAGGCAATCATCAACTATTACCATTCAAGTTTAATATTTGTTATTCTATTTTATATTTTTCAGGAAGGTAATGCCGAAAAAGTAGAACAAAAGCTCAATGCAGGCCAAATAGAAGAAGTCGTCCTTCAGGTAAAGATGATATTAACATTTCCAGTAAATATTGCTCCAATTATCTAATACTGTGAAGTTGCTTCAGAAACATACATTGTACATCTGAGGTGTTTTATCAAGTTGTGACCTGTTACTGTTAGTACTGTGTCTGGCTTGCATAGAAATTAACATTGTGTTTGTTTTTTTGTCCACGAGTGGTAGACTTGTAGTTGGAATATTTGTATTACATGTATCATAATAATAATATATAAATCGCATATATCCATTCTAAAAGACTGCTCAAGGCGCTCTGTACAATTTCAAAACAATTATATAAAATTAAAACTACAACATACACAAATGGTGCTTAAGTTTCTTCTTGAATCTTTTTTAATATTTCATTTCCATGGCACGAAGCACTTTTGGATTCATAGAAATTAATAACTGGGGTGTCTTCATTTTCTTTTCTATAGTTACACCTTTCTTCTCCATCAATTTACTTTGATTTTTTTTATATGACATTGTTTCTTTATCCATTGTAGGCAGAAGCAGAGCTCTCACTTGCAAGGAAGATGGCCGCCTGGAAGTCCTGGGAACCCCTTCGAGGCGACGCCCCTCCCGGACAATGGAAGTGGCCATGAACTTTCTAGTTGTATAGCAGAATGATTCAGTTTTATCTATAATAGGATGCAATTAATGGCAGAGGTCTTTATTGGTGTGTTTGTTATGCACAGTTATCACGTGGGGTTCTGCATGTACACCACATTTAGTCAGCTTAAGTTTTGTCAGAGGTTATCCTTTGGGTAATCCTTTGCCCTTGGAAATGCTCCGCCTTGACAGGATAGCTTAATACCATTAAATGGTGTGCATTGTTTATTATCTCTCTTTCTTCAAAGTCCTGTGGCAGAGAATACTTGGACTTCATCACCTGCTGATGTAGAATTACATGACATTTTTAGAAATGGTGTTTCCCAATTTGAAATCTCTAAGTAATATCAACAGGTTATGAAGTCCATTTGAATAACATGTAAATATGACAATTTATGTGTATCACGTACTGTGAATACATTATTTGCAGTGTAATATGGAACAAACTAATAAAATGATGTTCATTTAAAGTTGTGTGATCTTGATATATTTATTTCATTATCTCTTTGGAACATGTGTTTGACCATTGCTTGTAACCTCAAAATCAATTTCCAATTTATTCAAAATATGGACAAATTGTAGATTGCTAAACTACACATTTATAAAAAATGGTTTTCATTGATGGGGGAACTAAATAATTATAAACTTCAAGTTTATAATTAACAGGACTTGATACACCGTAATATAAAAACTGAAAATGTACCAATTACCAGAAAATATTTTGCTCTGTATGATATGGGTTCAATTTTTCTATTCTATAACTAAAATATGACCTTCAAATATTTCTTCATGAAAAAATATTGCCTTTGAAATGCACTTTCAATGAGCATAAGAACGACTTGTGAGAGAAGAGAAGAGAGAAAACCATGAAGAGATAGGAAAAGAGAGTCAGAGGAAAGAGATGAGAGAGAGGAAAGAGAGAGAGAGAAAGAGATAAAATTGAGAGTGAGAGAGAGAAGGGGGTCGAGGGAGGAAGATGGAGGTATTATTAGTGTGATCCTTGGGAGTATGAGTGATATAGAGAATAATTATTTTGTAGTCCACCATGAAAATTAGTTTGTTTTATTATTTGTTTTATCATTATTGAGGAGGCCCCTGCCTTCAGGCCCGACCTCTACGTCTCGATTATTCCCCTTCCAAACTGGGTAATTTGATTCTTTACAATTTTTCAATTATAATTCTAACTCATTAATTAACTCTGTCAGGGTTTTTGTCAGATTATTATATCAACAACTTCCCAGCGGTCAAAGAAATTAGGTCTAACTTTATTTTTAAATGGGTAGGGGCAGCTCTTTTCAATTGCTTTTTATGATTGTGACTTGGTACAATAAATACGAAGGAAATTGGTCAAATAACAAGTATGATGGGGGGCTGCATGGGTGTCCGCTTAACAAAGATAACAAATTCTCTTTTGCCTTTGAATTTAACGGAAAATATTCATCAAATAGCACTAACCATTGTGAATATTTGTCCTTCACGATAATATTATCCTTTATAATTCTAAGAACATTTATGAAATATTGCTTTAAACTTCTTCTAAATGTTGTTTTATATCAACTGTCCAGATACACGACGTCTGGGTACACAGATTTCATCTTTTGATAAAGTTAACTATTCTAATAATTATATTCTATTAATAGTAAGGCCTAAAATAAAAACTTGTTGTATTGCCCTTTGGGTGCCAAAACATGGGTCGGTCGCGTGTGATTAAAAAAAAATAATGTTGTTCTTTTTTTTCCCCCGCCCTCTTCTGGCTGATATTTCTCAGTTTTTAATGCTTTAATACATGTGTTTCAGCGTCATCATTCCATTCATATCTTTTTCACCTCGTAATAATCCATGGTTTGCAATGTTGTGTTGATCGAGATGTTTACGCTAGTAGGATTTTGAAACTAGGGCAGAAGACGAGTGAGAATTTGGGAATGATTTGATTTTATGCATTTATATCCCATTTATCCCAACAAACAAAATACATTTTTTTTATTCATTAATAATAAACAAATCTAAAAAAAACGGTTAAAAAAAAAAAAACTTTTAAAAAATGCCGACCATAGATTTTCAGATGTGTGGGTAGGTCGCAAAGGGCAATATATTAGTTTTTATTTTAGGCCTAATGGTACTTTTTATGTCTCTGTCTCCAAAAACTGGCCAGTTTACTTGAATTTGTTTTAAAGAGAATAACTAGAAATGAATGAAGTATATTATCAAATAGATAGATATGGTAGGGGAAATGAGAATTAAGAACAAAAGGAAGAAAGAAGAAAAAAAATGAAGCCTCCTTGGCGGGGAATCGAACCCCGGTCTTCCGCGTGACAGGCGGAGATACTTACCACTATACTACCAAGGAATTCGCTGAAAGAGCGGGAATTACTACAGTAGTCAAAACATTGTTTTGCCATGTGCACTGCACTGAGTTGGTACGCACGGACCGCGCCCGTAGACAAATATAACGTGTGTATAAGATTGAGTGTGTAAAGCTAGTATGTACACCAAAGACGTACACCAAGCGTTACGTATAGGCATTACATGTTATAGCGCAGAGAGATCGAGGATCGAGTGAAAGCTGAAGAAGCCACTCCTCCTGACACACCCACAAAACCTTTCCTCTCATTGGCTCAAGAAATTTCTTTGACTTTGTATTCTCCACTTGTATTGGTACATTATTATTCAGTGTTGCGCATGTGGCTGGTACGTAGAGGCGCCAAGCATCCAGCTGTAACGACCTTTATTGCCTGTGACCTGTATAAATGTGCACCTGAAAAAACAAGATTGCATTAATTGACATCATGTCTTCCTTTGGGTTAGGGTTGCGTTTGTCTAAAGTTACAGTCGAGCTAGCAGCAGGAATAGCCAGGCGCAATCAGACCGTAAAATCTGGCGCTGTCTCTCTCGCTTGCTCTCGACTTCAACACGTTGATCAGTCCCAATCACTTCACACGCTGTCAGCTCATACACCTGCGAGATCGAGATCAAGGCTTCTTCAAGAATATAATAACACTTCATGTAATTTGGTCAACTTTGTGAGAAATATGTCTGCTGAAACTCTTCCTGATCCTTCAAATCTTATTTTTAGACAGGTGAGTAGTCATCTCAACCTTTCTTCTTTGTTTTGTTTCATCAAACTGTCAAGTTATTGACTCATATAATTCAGCTCTTAGGGAGTTAGGCTGGCCAAAAAATAAAGGAATGTGATTTCAAAAAGAAACTTTTAATCAAGGTTTTCATGTCCATTAATTAAACTGTCAAGTCAAAAAGATTCATTGTGGTCTAATTACTGTATTTATCTTCATGAGATAGGCATTATTATATTCCCTGCTGAATATTTTTGAAATTGGGTAATGCACAGATACAGGGTCTAGTAGTAGTATTGTTTAAATACTTTCCAACTAGGTCTAGACTAGATCTATATTTATCTAGACCCTAGATCTAATACAGAAGACTTTACCAATGTTTTCAGATTCATTATTTTTCTCTCAATCCATGTGAGCAACATAGACATCTAGATCTAGATCTATTTACCAGTTTTTCTGTCATTCTTGTACTTTGGTCTAGAAGTCTAGATCTAGATCTAGTACTAGTCCTAGAGAAAGTCATACTGAAGAAAAATAAATTGAATACAGTAATTCCATTGCAAAATACAAAAGTTGCCCATGAACTTATAAATCTGTCTTGTTGTTAATCATTACCGTTTTTCATTCTGTTCAGCTTTTTGACTACCAGTCTTACACATACACCTATCTGCTTGCAGACAAGGATACTAAGGATGCAATCCTCATTGACCCTGTCATTGAACTCGTTAAGAGGGACTTGCATCTTGTGGAAGATCTTGGGCTTAATCTTATCTATGCTGGTAAGTCTCCTATCAAACATCAGGGGGTGTTTCACAAAGATCCTAGTCAAACTTAACTCTAAGTTGGACTTAAAAATTATGGCGAGCCAATTGTAGCCTTAAAATAAAATACAATACAAAGCAAAAACTAAAATATTTAGACCTTTTATAAATTCCACATCAAGAACATGAAATCTCCTTGATAATAGAAAATATGAATGATTTGAATCAACAATTTTATGCCTTTTCAGATAACTTTTACAAAATATTTCATAGATGCTAACAGCTTTCCATAATTGTTAAGTCCAACTTAGAGATAAGTTCAACTTAGGATCTTTGTGAAACACCCCACTGGTTTAAGCTTTTACAAGGTATATACAGAGTTTCTACAAACCATGATATTTATTAGGCATTGCCGATCTAATGATGGTAATTGTGTATCCAGCCTTCTGTGCACAATTTTCCTATCTGTTTTGCAATTGAAAACCCATTAAAATGGATATTATGGATATAAAAAATATGCATCAAATAGCTGCCACTAGACACCATAAATATTTGTCCTTAATAATCTTGTCCAACACTAGTCATTTATAATTGATTTATGGTCTATTTTTTTCTTTAAAAGATTGTTGGAGATCAACTGACTGGTTACACAAACCGTCTAGACACACAACGACGTGTGGGTATTTAAGATCAGTAATTTGACTCCTCCTCGGCTGTGACATATTGCATCATGTTTTGATAGACCTGGAGGCTGGAGCCTTAAATGTAAATCTGCAGACTTATCAGTTGTTTGACCTGTCTTGCACTCTTTAAATATTTACCCTTACTTTCCAGTTCCAAACAAGTTAAAAAAGTACAAAAACTTTGTTTTCTTTAACATAATGGGTTTAAAAAAAACCTTCACAACACTTTTCAGGAGCCTATTTGTAATAGCTGGTATATATGATGAAAGACAACCATATATACGGTACATGTACTAGATTAAAGCATTATTTCATGATCAAACTATTTTATATGTTTATCTTTATTTCTTTATAAATCTTACTATTTCTACATTCACTCTCTCATTTCTCAGTAAACACCCATTGTCATGCTGATCACATAACTGGAAGTGGTTTGCTCAAAGAGAAGCTACCGAACTGTAAGAGTATCATCAGTGGTAACAGTGGAGCCAAAGCAGATCTCTATATTGATGAGGGTGATCAGATCAAGTTTGGTAATTTGGTGAGTAACATAATCCCTTCCATGCCATGGACATGTGCAGCAGTTCCCTCCCAAGAATGTTGATTGATGTTCTACTTAAAAGATAACTTACCACTAATAGTAACTTTGCCATGAATAGTAACTACATTGGCAGCATCGCTCAACTGTCAGCAGCCAATCAAATCAAGGTCTCCATGGAAGTGTATAAGATTACCATCAGTGCTAAGTTTTATGCAATGAAGCCCAGTCTCAAAGCAATAGGGAAAGTGTAAATGATTATTGATTCAGCTTTATTTTGAAATGATCAAAGTGAAGAGAAATCTCTTTTTACATAACCTCGTTGAAATTGCACCCACTGTACACATAAATGAGTATATGAGACTGCACATGAATTCTTTGTCCAAAATTTCTAGCTATGTCTTGTCAATTTGTCATTTATATCAAATGTGAACCCATTTTAAGAGCAATTCTTTTCAGGGTACCCTTGTTGTATTGTATTCTTCCAAACTTACACACAGATACACCTGTAATGAGAAAAGCTCACATTCGTTTCTTCTTCATCTTTACCAGAACTCTTCCTTCTCTTCAATATTTGGATAGAAACTAGAAATGGGTTCATATATACTTTGTGAAGGTTGTCTCAATAGATTTGAAATAAAATTTAAGAATGAAATATATATTGAACACTCATAAAAAATGAATCTTTGAAGTTTATTTAGTTAAAATGGCTTCCACTCTGTGTGACACGGGAGAGGTTAAAATCATAAATTTATGGATTTTACTACTATTTCTACACAAATGTACTACTATAAATGAATTAATAAAAGCAATGATACTAATGGTAGTGACTTCTTGTTAACCATTATGCTCTTCAAAGTTCACACTGTGATGCTCCTGGCTTGGGCTGCAGTATTTTGTTTTACCCTGGTCATAACTGTGCTCAAATTTATTAAGTACCCCTTTACAGCAGCCTAATTAATGGACAGTTTAGCAGATGTGAATTGAATTGATATTATCCTAAATAGCATTAGTGCCATATCAAGGCTCAAACGTATGACCTTGTTTTCCAAAGTCAAAGGTTGAAAACACTCAACTATGAGACCTCTTGTAGATGTTTAATCTGTGTTAGAATACTAAGCCTGTGATAAATCTGACTTGGGTCTGTGGAAAATGTGTGGTATCCCCAATCAACTCTTATCCAACATGTCATAAGGAACCAGGGAAAAAATTATTATTATTATTTTTTTTTTTTTTTTTTTTTTTTTTTTGGGGGGGGGGGGGGGCTACTTTTCAAGCTTGCCTGCATAAAAATAACATTCTAAAATTTGTTTTGCATTGAACTCTATGCAAATTTACGGGGGCTTTTTTCTGATTTTCGGGGGCTCTTTTGGGCATTTCGGGGGTTGTAAGGAACACTTGCATGACATATAATATGATTACAGGAAATGCTGTTTAAGAGACCTTCTTAATTCAGGCAATGTTTACTCGTGGTCCACTTTTTGCTGAGCTCAACAATAAATGGGTTTTTTGTAAAAGAAGCTGTTCAAGGAAGTCCAAAGTCTAAATTTAAACAAACAGACAGATCACCATCAATTGTGGTAATGTGTCTGCATTGCTGCATGTAATCGCAAACGGAACTGTTTTGACTGGCCAAGGGTAATCCTTACAATGTCTAATGAACTAAATACATTTATCTACTGTTCCAAAGCCCATCACTTGTTATTCATTGAATGCGGCTGCTTTCAATATATATACAAGACGAATTGGAAGTCCTTCCTGCTTTCCCTAAAATCTTTTTTTTTAGACCCCTGGTTCTTTGTCACGCTCATTTACAAAAGCTGCACTACCTAGCTTTTTTTCCATCTTGAAATATACCGGTACACATATTTTGTAGCAAGAGTGAACTCCTATACCAAGAAATTTCTTGTATATTCAGATATCTAGCTCCCACCCTCAAATAACATGGAAAAGCCCCACCCCTTCCTACATGTACATCATCCAATTACTACATACCATGATTGAGGTATAATTCATGAATGACATATAAGTGGAAATTGTAAGTAGTAAACATTTATTATTCAGTTAGAATGAAATTATCATAGAAGAAACCACTAACTTTCTTGTGTCTCCCAACTCCAATTTGGTAGGCCCTAGAAGTGCTTTCAACCCCCGGCCACACATCTGGGTGTGTCACCTATGTATTGCGCAATGAGACAGGGACACCTGTGATAGCATTTACTGGAGATGCCATCCTCATCAGGGGATGTGGAAGGACAGATTTCCAGGAAGGTAACATAAATTTACTGTAACATAGAGAAATGGCCTCAACCCCCCCCCCCCATCCCCCCCCCCCCCCCCCAAACAAAAATGAAAAGTTACTCAAAGTCCAGTATTGCCAGAAGTTATGTCGTATTTCCCTCAAAAAGACATGGTATATACAGACTGACTTCAAATTGTTAGAATTCAGACATGCTAGCTGTGTTTCAAATAATTCTCAAATAGTGTCTAATATCTCACAAAATACAAATCATTATTCTTTGTTAAAAAAATTAATGAAATAAGCTGTGATCTCTTTGCACCATGCCCTCGGACTCTAAAGGGATTTTTGAAGTCTCAGTTGATTGCTACCTTGCCTAATGACTTTCTTAGCCGTCATCTTTATTTTTTATCCTTCATTAAAGTAGTTACACCATGAACATATTCTTTTAAAGAAATAAAAAGCCCTTAAAATGACAGGTGAGCCCTCCCCCTTCTCCCACCCCCACACCGTAAGAGCTCATTCTTTCTTTAGTGACAATGTACCTGTATTTCTGTTACTCTGTATTGAATGTATTTATGGCTTTGCTTGATTTCAAACAGGTGATTCTGGGATGCTCTATGATAATGTACATGGGAAGATTCTCTCATTACCTCCAACAACAAGACTAATGCCAGCCCATGACTACACAGGTATGAAGACTATATTAATCAATTAAACTATTATAGATGCCTTTCACTTTCAGATTGGATATACCAGTAAGGATTAAGATTACGATATTTGTGCTTAAAAGGTGTTTTACAGATATACTCTTTTAGAACATTTAAAAAAAAAATTAAAAAAAATTGATTTTTTTTTTTTTTTTTTTTTTTTTTTTTTTTTTTTTTTTTATCTATTTATTTATTTATTTATTTATTTATTATTATTATTATTATTATTATTATTATTATTTTTTTTTTTTTTGGGGGGGGGGGGTTTGAATGAAGATTTGAATGAAGACAGGGCTATTAAAGATAGATGATTATTGATATACATGTTAGTGAATAATGAGGATGATGATGGTTATTGTAATGATGACATTCAGCTGTTGATGGAGATGGTCATGATAATAATAATAATGTATGATGATGGTCATGATGCCGAGTTGCTGACAAGAAGATCTAATGATAATAGTACCGGTACCTTTATTGTTGCATCTACTCAATTAGGTTGATATTGTAATGGTAATGAACGACAAAATATATTTGTGAGCATATGTTCCTGATAGTCTGGGAGCCTACCGGTACCTTATTATGTTTGATGGATATTGGCATCATATCACCGTAAGCGACTGACGGGTTATAATTGGAGAGAGTGCCTTTTCTATACAATCTGCAGGACAGACAGTAACAACAGTGAAAGAAGAGCTGCAGTTTAACCCCAGACTGACCAAGACCAAAGAAGAGTTCATCAAGATCATGCAAGAGCTCAACCTCCCCTACCAAAAGCGATAGGTGAGTAATCCAATTTTGCTTTTGGTCAGAGGTCTATTCATTACATTTAGGGACTGCTCATCTCTTAAACAGCCACGATGTATAAGTAAAAAGAAAAGATATATGTCATAAATGGGTTTCTTTTCTTCCCTGCTATTCAGAGATATACTAGAAACCCAAATTATCTTTAGAATGAATTCCTGTAATATTCAGGGTGGACAGAAGTATTTCTTCATTTGGACGAGCTGTTTTGGAGTTTAAACAGAAAATGCATACTTGCAGGTTGTATGGGTCAGTAGCATATTAAAGTGCAATATTATAGAGGTAATATTTATTTTTAAGATGGGATGGGCAATAACTATACTCTTCTGGTATCGCAAAAGTAGCTTTGTGCTGAAATTTTCCTATATTCTGTCTTACCACAACTATACCATAACTAGCCACTACTCCCATCTTTCCATAATTAATTGTTGACTGTATTTTGTTCTTCAATGGAACAAGTGTCTTTGATTAGGCAGCGAGATATCATCACTCAAGAAGTTACCAGATTGCATTGAATTTAATGAAAAATTAGTACCTCAAGTCCATGAATTGTTAATAACAATTTCTTTGCTGCTCATTTTGTTTTTCATATTATTACTCTTCCTTACTATTTCAGACAAAGCTCTTCCTGCCAACTTGGTGTGTGGAATAGTTGGAGAGGGATATGACAAGTGAGATAGAACTGGAGACAAAGACACAACGTGTGAATAATCCCATGTGTTAATCCATCATTGAAGGCAAAGTCTTCTGATGAAATGAGAGGTTTCTAGCTGGAGATGGTGTCAAGATCATAATTCATATTCAGGTGGAGGCCAGATTTAATGTGCAAGGCGATATTATGTAGATGAACAATAAACTATACAATGTGTTTCTGAAAAAAGGGGGAAATCTAATTTCCCCCCAGCTGTTTCTTCCATAAATACACATTCATGTAAATGCGTTATTAGACATATACCATTATGAAAGATCATGTGCTTCCTCTTTGATATTATACCAAATTTGTGATCATAAACCTTTGGATCAAATAAGAACCAAAATAAAGTTAAGATCGTCGCTGTCAAAATTGATTTGGGAAAGATTGGAATTTGTTAGACATAATAAGTAACAATTCATTGGACCTTTCTTCTCCTTCATTTGATTTTCTTTTTTTTTAATCCTTTATTCCTAATCATAATCAGATGTTTCACAAGACTAAGTTTAGACCCTGGTTTCATGATGAAAAATAAAGGTTGAGGTGTATGATGTAATGGTCATATAAAAAGCCTTTGGAATCCAGTTGTGAGATTTAAAAAAAATGCAAATTCCATGCAAGTCTTTGAAGCAAATGCTCCTCTATGTGAACTTTTGTTTGGACAAAAGGAACAATTGCTTGATTTTTTTTGTTGCTTTTTGCTTTTCTGATAGCCATTTAAGCATTTATTGAAAAACCCCAACAACATTGGGTTAATGGTACCAGTGTACTATTTACCGATGTATGTTGGTGTGTGTGAATTCAATATCTACACTGAAAGAGAAAATGCCATTTTTGCTGCAAGGGTTCCTTGATAACTGAAATTGTAATGTAATAAAACTCAGATGGATTAAATAATAATGCAGGGCAAAAGGTTGAATATCTTATAATAGGGAATGTATTTTTGATACAAGTCTCAAATAACATTCCTATTCGCAGCAGAGATGAGTGACTGCTATCAAATCTGTAGTCAATTTATCTATGCTGCAAATGTTACTTGCAACTTGTTGTATATTCAACCTTTGCCCTGCATTATCATCTAATCCATCTGTCAACATTGAATTACGCATTGTGATGCAATACTGTAATTAAATTTTAAAGATTATCTAACACAATTAATCTGTACATGATCTCCTCAAGTGATTTTTTATCCAATTGTTATTTAACTGGTTGCAGAAGCTAAAAAGAAAGAAAAGTGAAGAAAGAAAAGTCTCAAATGATTTTCTTGGACCTACTGTATAATGAATAATATGCCATAGTCCTGTAGTCAAATTTTCTCCAGAATGTCTTTCGAACGGTCTTCATGATAAAAATGTGTATACAATATTCTTCATTGTATATTCCCCATGTTTCACAGTTTTTATATATGATATTCAGATTATCTACTGGCAGATACTTTTTATTATTCTAGCATCAGTAATATCTTGTACATAATATTATGACAGAATGTAATTCTTATATGCAGCTGTCCTTGTCTTTGTTCCGAATATTAAAAAATTGAAGAAATGAATACTGCCCTCTGAGAGGGAGATAATCCAACGACAGTTCTCCTAATCCACTAAAAGAAACTCATACATATGTACATACATACATACATACACGAGCCAGTATGATACAATCCAACATTATTTGTTGTATGACAATTCCAGGTGTTTTTTGTATTTTCGTAACATTCATTCAACATAACTGCATGCCTCTTCTCGTCAGTATCATGCTTTCTTTAAAAGAATTTCATTTTGTATTGTGTTACCATCTGGGCCCTGTAACACAAAGCTTAGCGATTGATTTTACGACCGATTGCGTTGATCATGTTGTCCAATTAGTCGTAAAAATCAATCATACGATCAGTTGCTAAGCTTTGTGTTATGGGGGCCTTGTTGCTAGGAATATAACGCTGGTGATTTATGTCAATATGCAGCATACCAGATAGGAAAATATACACTGTACTGTATTTCATCTAATGTACGTTTGTCACATGATATAATCATAAATTCTTTTGAAATCAAAGGGTTTTCTTACATTTTATACTATATCACTAAGCGATAAATATTATTAGCTTTTCAAAATGAAAGCATTTGGTGTGATAGAATCTGCAATAACACTGAAGAGTATGTTTGTACTACACATGTTATTTACTTGTTCATGATAAAATTGTGAAATGTTCATCTGTTCATGATAAGATCATTAAAATTTTTAATAAAATTATGAAGGTAAGAGTGCATCATCAAACAAACCAGAGTATTTTCATTATCAGAGGTTTGTCATGAAGTGTTCATGAATAAATCAAATTATATAAAAATGCATTTTTTTTGGTCAATATTTGTCATCCCAATTCATATTGAATATACGAACAATTCAAATGCACATCAGATTCTGTTTTTATATAAAAATGTGTTTTTTTTACAAGAAAAGCAGTATGTGTAATACAGAGAAAGGGAGGACGAGACTGGCCAACATCAAGGAAATCTATAGAATCGAGAGAGAGGAAGACAGAGAGAGAGAGAGAGAGAGGAAGACAGAGAGAGAGGGAGACAGAAAAAGAACATTTACGATGCAGGATTATAAAAGTAATAAATCAAAAATTAAATCCACAAATAAAACCTGTATGATTTGTAAATAAATATTGAACTTATGTTTATTATTTTAGAAACAAGACTATAAAACACCACTGAAGAAAAACAAATAATGAAGTTTTAACTACTAACATGAAAGTAAACCTGGAAATCAGATACAAACGTGTATGTAATATGGAAGGTGATTGAGAAAGAAAAAAATTGACTTCGAGTCTGGACCTGAAGTACATAAAGTATGACATGAAGTACACACAAAAAACGTGTTTGGACTTGTTCAAGTTTATAAGCTATAAATATTTAGTCTTTGCCTATAAAAAAATTCTATGGCATTAGAATGAAAGCTGACAGACATGGCATGTTGGCAGCATTCCATTTAGTTTAAAGAATTACTCGCATGTGAAAAGTTATAAATGTACTGAAAATGTAATCATATTCTAGAGCATGTCACTTTTTCAAATCACACTTTCCATTAAAACGTATACTTGTAATATTAATTAATGATCTGAGAAGTTTTGGCAAATTTGTAAGAAGAAAGACCCCCCCCCCCCCCCCCACCCAAAAATATATAAAAAATCAATAAATACATTTTTTTTTTATTTAAAAATATAAAATAAAATAATAATAATAATTATAATAATAATTTTAAAAAAAAACACAAAAACACAAAATATCTTCAAAGTGTCTGTTGTTAAGTTTAATCACTTGTCATTTCATTTTCTTATGAAAATACTATAGGTCTCTAAAAGTCGTACCATCTTAACGAGTAAAATTTTCACCAATTATCTACAATCCTGTTAAAAGTATATGTTAACAGGGGTTGCACAGGAGTCGGGCCATGCTACAGGAACCCAATCTTGCCTCACAGAGGTGCCTTGATATTTGTTAGGCATGTGAATAATCCAGGACACGGGCACAGCTCTTGCAAGGGGATGTTCACATTGTGCATGCTGTGTCGCACAAATACCAGTGTCAGGGGCACAACTAATTCTCAATTAAAAAAACAGAAGGGATGTTACAATATGATATCAATTGCATGAAACGTGTTACTGTATAGTGGCATCTATCTATCTACATTCCATAAGATCTTGTGAATAAAGAAACCTTGTTCTCTTGCCAGGTATAGCTCATGTGTGGTTACTTTGTGTCATTCAGAGTTCAGAGTGTCTCTATTAAGAGTGGTATAAAGAGACTAACCATCACACATGTCACTTTTAATTCTGGCTGGTTGAAAACAGATCAGCATGTGTCCATCAGGTAATATCGTTCATGTAACCCCTGGCACAACAGCAAGACGGCATAGTATCACCATGAGGAGTGTCTTTTGGAGGATGAAATCATCCATTGTCTGCCAAGTCTGTCTGATCAAAGTATCGTGCGATGATGCTAATTATAAGATTGAGCGCTACTAGATTCTCTTCTGTATTTGAGTCCTGCAGGAGAGTAAAGAGAAATAATACAGATGATATCATTAATACATTTTACGATTTGTAAATTTTGGTGGAGTTTTTAGGCCAAGTTAGGTATAGTGTTGGATCTAGAGTTAAAACTAGAAATATCTGTAGTGTAGGGAATCCGATCGACTGCAGAGCAATTGTTGCCTGAGTATGTGTCATAGAACCTCAGCTAAAGCTGTTGTTTTACTTAGAAGATTTTCTTTCCTTATTTTTAATGAAGCTTGCTCTTATGGTTCACTTTAGCATAACAACCAATTCTTGATATCTTAGAAAACTGTTGCAAACATCATGACGAGTATGGTGAGGGTTCTTTTCCATAATAATAAATAATAATAGTGGCTACTTGTATAGCGCACAGGTCCACCTTTCAGTGCTCATGGCGCTTAGAGAAAAGTACATGTAACAGACATAAGAAAGAAAAAACAATAAACCGAAAAACAAAATTCGAAATTCTCCTACACATAGTAAATTAGAATATTGCAATAAAGGCAGTATATCACCAAGCAAATGGTCTGGCAACAAAATTAAAATTACATGTATTTCCACTGGAATATATGAGAAGAGACCATGATATGATATTGCATACTGAGTTATATCATAAGATTTTGGAGCAGGGCATTTGTAAGGCATTAACTGTCCCGTGTTTTGTCTATTTTTATTCTTTGAACTAGTTTTAAGCATTTGCCAAAATAGGGTTTCAAATTACAAAGCGAAAACTGTTGCAATTATCTACAAGTGGGTTGGTAGCCATAATTGTGGAAAGATTTATCATACTTGGTGCCAGTGTACTATTGCTCTGTTATAGCACCTCTATGTCGCACGTTTGGTACATGTACATACATGTATGGGGTTGTTTTATTTGTTTACCGGTGTATGGCTGACGTGTGAAATGAAGCCTACATCTCAGAATTTACAGGAATCAGAACTTAGAAATAAAACCCCTCTATCAGATAATAAAACTATTGGTAGTTTCATTTTACCAAAATCAGAATTTGTTTATTAAGGCAAAATGTTGCAATGATTTATTTATGGTGGTAAAAAGAACATAAAGACTCAAGATTTAGAGTATTAATAGAAAGGTGGTAAAAATAAATATATCCCTAGTACGGGTAGTACAAATAAATATAATTTCCATAAATTAATCAAATAAAGTATGTGTCTATTGACAAGAACATACATAGAAATAAATATAATGTACATAAATCAATCAAATAAATTACGTGTCTATCGACAAGAACATACAAAAATACCCATTTGTGTTTGATCATAAAGACAAAGATGGAATATGGTCAAAGTGCATGTAAATATTCATACAAAATCAATAAAAACATTATCATTCTACCATTCTCTTTAACCCATTTGTTAAGGTTATGTATTAAAGCTATGTGAAGAAAGTGAGAAGAGAGAGAGAGAGAGAGAGAGTGAATGAGATAGAGTGAGAGAGAGAGAGAAAGAGAGAACGGTTTTTAGGAGGCTAACAATATATCGCCATATCAGCTATATTAAATAGAGCTAACAATAATTTAATAGCCAAAAATGCATTATTGTGCAGCCCTAGGCTATTCATGTATGTAGATGACTCTGTATTTTGCTTGATAGAACATATCATTAGCTGTACGACACATGCTCCAGTGACAATTGCTTCACTTCCAATAACCTCAAACCCAGAACCCAACCGAAACCTGAAGTTTCCAAACCATAACTCCAACTCTAATCCTAAACTAAAATCCAATTGCAACCCAACCCCAACTATCCATCTTTGACAGAAGAAAGCCTGAAACAATTGTTGCAGGAGGAAATGTCGGAGCACTGTTTGTTACATCATACTTACCATCACAGCTCTTAGAGTAGCACAATGCCTGGAGAGGGTTCGTATGGTAGCCGTAGAGTCGGCTAAAAGAGGTTTCTCAAAGCAAGACAGGAGAGCAAACAGCCAGCACCCCTGCGCTATAGAGAAACCCAGCATTTCCAACCACTCCACATGGTATTCAAGCAACTTCTGTACCATTGCCTTTAAATGAATAAAAATGAATAAACAATCAAATAAATAATATCTATAGAATCATTAAGGGTAGTACGTGCAAAAATTAACAATCGTCTGTTCAAGGACAAGTCAGTTTGAAGATTATGATGTCTGCTCGTAAAATTGACATTTTATTACTGATTGCCATGTTGTTAAATGGTATTTAAGTAATGTAAAATAAATATGGCCTCCTAATAATGTCTCTGACAATATCAGGATGATAAAGAAAATGAGAGGAAAGTACAATTTATCGACAGTCAAAGGATCTATACATACATGCACGTACGTGTTCCATGCTCACAAAATTATTGTTTACCCCTATTTTGATTTTTGGAAAGCCCCCAAACTTTTCATTTAATTTCTTTTAGTTTGTTGATGAATGCAAGATTTTGCAACACCCAGCTCCTTGTAGTTAAACAAATAAGGAGGTAAATCTAGGGCCTTTTATAATACAATCAGGCATTTTTTTCCAGAACTTAGAATAAATAAATTGGAAATCACAGATGGAACATATCAAAGATGTTCATGTACATGTATGGGTTAAAAGTCGTTCGTGAAGTCGTACGCTACCGTGCCTACATTCGTGTGCTACCCTCTATATACCCACACATGAACAACTTTAATATCTCAAAATATCTCAAACATATCTTATGATGCAAGTAGAAATTTTTTTTGTATTTGTGCATTTCAATCTACACAATGTGTTTTACTATGTTATATACATGTATAACACATTTCATTGTAAATTTCTTTTTACTAGCATTAATTACTGTTCCATATCTGTAGTCACTTTGATGATTTGTATAGCTTTGAAAGGTGAAATGATAAAATTTTCTCTTCTTTATTTATGTTTTCATTTTTCTGTGGGAAGGTGGGGGGGGGGGGAGTGAATGGGTGACTGGTTCCCTTTGATATTATAGTAAAACTCTTGAGCACAACTGACAATGCACAATCAGCAATACCATACACATACTAAGATTCCTTCATTCCCAGATAATACGGACCATACAAAGTAACAATGCATGCATGTACCTGGTCGAGTGAACTGATGACGGTGACCAATGGTGGGACGGGCGTGGTCATGGTCACCTGACCGCATATATTCTCTTCTTCATCATCTACCGGAGGTCTCCCCTGCTTTGCTCTCATCCTATCCAGGAATGTCCGCCCCAAACAGAACTGACACCAGGAGTCCTCATCTTTGTACTTTGGCTGTAAAGAAGTGACAGAATAAGTGTGTGATTGGTTAATTGAATAACCGATCAATAGTTGATTGATTGAATAATTGAGATGATAGCACAGTGGAACCGCATCATAACAGAATGTTGAGTACCAATCAAGGAAATTACAAATAATGTTAGTTAGAAAATTTGTTTTGTTATGGTTTTGAAAAAATAGAATGCAAAGAAATGAGAGGGGTCCATAATTGTACAAGCATTGCTTTCTAGTGGACCCCTCTGTTTCCAATATGTATTACTATGTTGTAAATGTTTATAATTGATTTGTAATGTTTTGTTGGAAACAGAAATAAATTGAATTGAATTGAGAATAGTAGTGTGAGACTGAGTAAATCACCTTGTGTTTTTAAAAATAAGGTTCAACTCCACAATGGAAGTGGGTGATTAACTTATTGAATAACTTATTGAATTGCTTAATAAATGTTTTGATTACTTCAATGGTTGACTGAATAATTGATTGACTGAATAATTGACTGATTGACTGACTAACTGACTAATTTGTTGATCAATTGACTAATCAACAACTGGTTGATTGACGGGGTAAATGGCTTAACAACTAGCTGACTGAATGAACGATGCAATTTGATTGTTTGACAAACTGACTGTTACTCACTGACCAACAGACTGATGATGCTTGATTGATTGATGCATAACATACATAATTGTCTGTTAAAACATACTTGACTTTCGGACATCCCAGTTTAATGATATTTGATTAATATTGAATAATGTTTTGGATTCATTTTATACAAACCAATTCCATCTTTTCCTTTCTCTCTCCCGCTATCCTAGCCGTGACTCCAGCTAGCCTCTGACGCAGTTCTGAGAAGGATGCAGACTGCCGACGCTGCCACATTGTGGTAGGAGCAAACCCTCGAGGAGCAGGGCTGAAACCTGTAGACTACCAAAACAAATGGGGTGGTAGGATTAAGAAATAGCATAGAGAGAAGAAGTATAGGATTAGTTTGAGAGAGGAACAATCAAGGAAGATAGAATATAGGAAAGATGAAAAGTCACAGAAAAACCAGGGATTTTTTTTTTTTTAATTGTATATTGGTATCAATTAACCGTCTTTCAAGGGGATGGCATATATCAAAAAAGAGAATTATGACATGTCCATATTGGCTAAATTTGTAAAAGAGTTCTCCGGTTCCTAATGTCAATATCTCATCCCCCCTGTCATTCTCCCTTACTCAATTCTTTGTCGGCAAGGGTAGCAAGATTGTGAATCTACACCAAATTTCACAAATGACTAGAACAATGCTTGAAAACAAACAAAGATGATACCTATTCAAAGCACCCTTGTCATGTTACCTTCCAATGTGGTATGACTCTCTTAATCAAAATAATTTTGGATATAGTGACGACCTTACAGCTTGGTGAATGATTTTTTAGACCTTGACACAGTCCAGTAGATGCGGCATGATCGGGTTCAAGGATGGCATGACAATAACTTGGACATGAAGAGCTTTTCCACAACAACAACAACAAATAGCCAAATGAATTTGACAAAATTTAACTGTAAGTTGAGGCCAATGGAACTGTTTAAGTCAAGTATAAATGAGGATATCTATTGTTTATCTTAAGTTACTCAATCACAAAGATTCTTACATTTCATCACTAAGTAATACTTACATTTGAGACAACAACTGTCTGCTTGCTTTTCAAGGTATCCCGGTCAAGGTGTGCTACTACAACATCTGGGGTTTGCCTTGCTTCATTTCTGGATTAGAAAAAATAAATAAATGAATAAAAATCATCAGATTTAGACATTTGTTAGTGATTGTATTTATTCCAATAGTTATATCATTAGATACAAACTTACGATGTTAATCATACAAGAGATACTACAGTTTCTTTATTAATTTTGTTTGTTTGTTTTTTGTCTTTCACTCTTTCCTCCTGCCAACTTCTCTAACTCATTGCATTATTCCTCTCATTTTATCTGCCCTTCAACTTTCTGACATCGATACTGACATCAATTTGTTTTACTTGGGACTGGAAAAAATCAATAGATACATCTTGACAATCAAAGAAATACACATTTTCACATGTTCTGCCCTTGTACACTATCAGAGAAATAAAAGTATAAAACATTGTCTCTGAAACTCAACTTGCATTTTGGAAGAAAATGAATGAATTATGTGCCCTTTGGTTGAAAGGTACCATTTTTACAAGTACCGTATCGATACACAACTTTAAAGAAGGTGCTGGAATTATCGTCCTTTAAAAAAAATTACTTAATCTGAAGCCAACTGGCCTGCAGTTGCATTATACAATCCTGTAAAGCTACAGTCCCATATACGTCCCGGACCGTCCCGGACCATCCCGGACCCCATCCGGGGTGATCCGGGATTCGGTCCGTGTTGACACCGTGTTGGCACCGGGGTGGTCCTGGATGGTCCTGGATGGTCCTGGATGGTCCTGGATGGTCCTGGGCGGTCCGGGAGTCGACCCCGGATGTTTTTGACGGTCAAAAACTGCCGGGGTGGTCCGGGACGGTCCGGGACAATAGTTTGATCCGGGGTGATCCGTGTAGCCACCGTGCTGGGTCCGGGGTCATCCGTAGTGGCGCCGGGGCGGTCCGTGTTGATCCGTGGCAGTCCGGGAGTGAGTTATTGACCGCCCAGGACCATCCAGGACCATCCAGGACCATCCAGGACCACCCCGGTGCCAACACGGTGTCAACACGGACCGAATCCCGGATCACCCCGGATGGGGTCCGGGATGGTCCGGGACGGTCCGGGACGTATATGGGACTGTAGCTTTTAAAGCATCACACTTTTTTGAACAAAACATCCCGGACCATCCCGGATCACCCCAGACCATGGTCCGGGATGGTCCGGAGTGGTCCGTGCTCGTCCGTGCTGGTCCGGCTTTATATGGGACTGGGGCTTAAGGCATTACAAATTTAATTATCTGCGGGCTGGCAAGACTCGACTGGCCTTGGCCCTCGTCATGTTAACCTAATACTTTATATATTGGTGTCAATACATTCTCTCCTGTTCACAACAAAATAAACTTTACAAAGAATAACCCATGGTATAGCCAGTTAAACCCACACGGATTTTGGGGTTCTTTTAAATAAATTATTATATTGCACAAACACAATAATTAACACGTGGGACACACGAAAGGTTTCACACGAACTTATCCACAACAATCATTTCAAAGTTACCTTACCTAACACGTAGTAAATATTCTTCAGCAGTTGCTGGTGCCCTCCCATGGTCTTCTTCAAGATCACTATTAATACCTGGACGTCCAATCGGTAAAGCTACTGGAAGAAGTTCATCCATCACGCTTTTCTTGCTTTTCCTGCTTTTCCAAAATAATTCTGCTAGTCTTAATATCAGACAGCATTGCTATTTAGCTAGCGACGTTAGTAATCACTGTGCGCTGCGGTATGGAGGAGTAAACCCTCAACCCCTTTGTTTTCTTTATAGCTACACAAGTTCATAGTGTGACGAACTTTTGAGTTTATTTCTGTCATTCGTTCTTGCAAGTTTAGTTTAACTCATCAACCAACCAGCAAATAATTCTGATTTCACTCTTTTTCTTCTCTATTAAACCAAATTCATCTGAGCTGACACTCTTATAGGGCATTTGATCTTTGAGGGGGAGAAAAAAAGAAAAATTATATACCCCATGGCCATATTTCTCAATCCCTCTCTCTCTCTTCTCCCTCTCCTTTCTCTCTCTCTCTCTCTCTCTCTCTCTCTCTCTCTCTCTCCTTCTCTACCCTCTCTCTCTCTCTCTCTCTCTCTCTCCTTTTTTTCTTGTTCTCTCTTCCTCTCTGTCTCTCTCTCATTCCGATGTTGCCAAATAATTCAGTATATTTCTGACAGTCTATCTGTTAAGAGCATACTGCATGATAAGGTACAATCATAGTTCAAAATGATGGTCACAATTCTTTTCATATAATATATCATATTTTAATTCACAAAACATAAATTCCATGATTTCAAACATACTGATGCTAAACATTATTTGACAATGAAGTTACATGTATAACAAACACGTATAAAAATTACACAATTTAAAGAAAATTAATTTGTTTTAAACAAAGATATATCGACAAATTGCACCCATCACTTGTAAGGCAAATATATTTTCTTATTCATGGAAAGTTCATTGGCAGATTCATATGCAAATACTAAAAGAGATGGGAACAATATAACATGTTGATGAAACATTGGCAAAGGTTTTGTTTCAAGGGACCTACCGGTAAATCACTTCATAGTTCATCTCCCAATGTCAGAATATGTCAGAAAATATCAGGTTCATCAAAATGTATTCGGTAAAAGAATTCAGTGTAAAATAATGCATTTCTTCCACAAGCTAGTTATTCTTGCATGATAGTGGTAAATTCATTAGTTATTTTAGACATATTCATCGATGACTCTCCATATCGAATTTACATCATACATCATATAGGCGCACAAAATGAACATTTTATGAACTTTATTTGTTTATAATTAAATTTGGAAGAATATCATAAGATAATGTCATATGAAAAGGACTAAATGAACTTCAATCATGAGAGCCTAGGTCAGATTACATTTAGGTTAGCATCTACAGTTATTAATTAATAAAAACAATATTGTTCAGTCTTATTTTTTTATTTTTTTTATTTAAAAAAAATTCTAATCTTAACAAATTACCACACATTGGGCACGAGTTGTCTAAAGGTCTTCGAAACACAAGCAAACCATTCTTTGGGACAGATGGAGAACTTGCACTCAGTAGGGCATAGCAGCCACCTCGAGCTTCAAGGATTCAAGTCATCTTCAACATGTGTCAAAATATGGATTCTTCATCCGAATGTCAACGAGGGGCAAATAAGTTTTTAACTTACAATGCCTACTTCCAAGGTATATTTCCAAGGTATATAAAAATATCTTCACTGCATGCTTCATCACAAGAGAAACTGTGAAACCAAGCTCGCTAAACTGGGTGTCACAAGCAATGCTAGACGGATCGTTAGTTCGATCTATGGACTGTGGCCTCATCAGCAGATGCTCCGGTTGTTTGCAAAAATTTGATGACCGAATGAATGATCCCCCAAAAGACCTTATCCTAAGGAAACTTGATTTCAGAGAGTGGGTGGATAAGAATAGTGGGGAAATAAGGAGAAGTCAGTCACTGGTGCCTACCTATTACCACTTAAAAATCGATTGTGTGCTCATGAGGTATCTCATCACTCAAATTAAGGACATCCTCCTGTATGATGAAGTGAAAGAACAACTCTCTGAAGAGCACCTGACAAAACTCTGTAACTTTGCCCTATAAGCTTTCATTAACAAAAGGGATCGATCAAGATACTCTGGAGATTATGGCATTTTTGGTTTTGTTCACGTTTTTGATTTTTAACTTTCTTTTACACTTGTGAAACGTAATTTTAATTGTTATTATATAATTGTGTTAAGTGGGGGCATGGTACAAGAGTCCTATCTCGCACCCCGGGGCTGGTTGGTTGTAGCAACTACTCCGAAGATCAAGATTACATTAATCTTGATCTAGGGAGACACGAGCAAACAAACAACACATTTTCAAACTGTATTGCAACACAAATTAAGTTGAGTATTATACAGTCAGACTCAGATTGTCTTAGTGGCCACCTGTCTATAGTGGTTGCTGCATATTGAGGTCCCATGTTTATAGTAGCAGCTTTTGTTCTTCTGTTTCCCTTGTATAGATGTAATAAACAGATTCGACTGTATTACTGTTCAATCTTTGGTAAATGGCTGGCAATCTTAAACCCTACTTTTAAAGAACACCTGTATAATAAAAAATAAAAATAATAAAAATGGTAAATTTATTAAAAGAATACTATTATTTGAAACAATTCTTTAAAAAGGCTCTGAAGGGACTGCTACATAGAAATTATATATCTGTTAAACAGTTTTTGTCATTTTTGGATCATCTGTTTCTTTGTGTCATAAATGTATCTCTTGAATCTAAGGCTGATTTTGATTGGTTGATGCTCTTCATGTGACTCTTTGGCTGCACTTGGTTCTGGGACAGATTCTGTAAATCAAAGCAACAGAAAGAAAAACAAAGAAAACAAATAAACAAAGTACAATCAAGTAAAACAGAGTAAAGGAAATAGTAAAATAAAAGTTATTGCAATTATCTGATAAAGATTCATGAGATCTAAAGTATTTACATGCTTAAAGTGTACCACTCACCTACAAAAATAATTGTGTTCAGATAGACTGTATAGAATCAAACTTGCAAAACTTTCCTTGGCATTCTATGGACTTATGGTTAAGGAATATGAAAAAAATAAAGGATAACATACAACCCTGCACATGGCACTTAAGTCAGACTTGGCTTTCACGCAAGTGATATATATGAGTGCATACACTGGTCTATTCACAATTCTATTAGAGAGTGTACATATACTTACAATATCTCTTTATAGAAGTGAATTTTGAAGCTCATATTTTGAATATGGTGTAGCAATATGGAACCCCTAATATACAGAGCACGTTATACTTTCACTTTAAATCAAAGTATTTACCTGCTTTTGCTTTTTTTCCTTTCTTCTTTCCACCTAATGCACTCAGCATCTGCACTGTTTCTGATTGCAATCCATCTGTGTTTCAAAATAGAAAAAAAAATTGATAATATGAAACACATAATGAAACACAAATGATGTAAAAACATTCCATTGAAGGTCCAATAGAAGTATATCAAAGATGTGGAACTCAAAATTAAAACAGGAATGGCTGACAAGTGACAAGTGTAACAATCATGATCGGTTTTCATAACACTGATTATTCAAAGTGATTCCTTGTATTCACAATGCAACTGTTATATGATGTTATTGAAATAAAAATGCAATAGAATGAACAATTTCATGATTCATCCAAAGTAAAATTAGTTTAAAGTTTACATAATGACAGTGAATATCCCAAACCAAAGGTCAAGCATATTCAAACAAATCGAGAAATTATGATTGGTGGCTATTTTAAAAATATTTCTTTATTCTACTTCTTTTTATATGATAAAACAAAGCTTCAGAAAATCAAGCCAGTACAAGATAATAATCTAATTTTATTCTATGATATAACTACCTAGGCAGAAACAAAAATCTAGCACTGGCATGAAAAAATAAACATTTTAATATGTGAGTAAATCTAAAAACGGACAGACATTAAACTAAAAGATGTTAAATGACTAATATCAGTTTCTTACTTGGTATCCTGACTTTGAACTTTCCACTCTGTCCGAATCCTCCCTCAATGACACCCTCCTCTCCTGTCGAGAGTTGAACCTTGAGATTGGTGAAGGTTTGTAGGTTTGTCTCCTTCTTGAACAATGACCTGCCAATCACACTATACTCATCTGTCATCTGTTGAATTAAAACAATTAAAATGTTTTTTACCTCTTTTGTCATGGATTAGGTATAGAGTTGAAGGTTGACAATAAATAACTGACCTACAAATCATGCTTACTATACAGAATGACATAAATGATATCCCAAACCATAGGTCAGGCACATTTGAAGGGTGTATTCCAAAATACCAATACCAGGTATGCAAATTTCTAATTATGTTTTGCGAAGTAAATTTGAAACCAACTTAATAACCATATTCATTGTGTAGGGAGCACGAGACACAGATAGGCAGACAGAGAGGAGCAGACATAGATGGAGAAGGGGGGGGGGAGCGAGAGAGAGAGGGAGAGAGAGAGGGAAATAAAGAGAATGAAAGAAAAACATAAAAACACAGTGAAACATAGAGAAACAAGTACATGTAATTAAACTTACCCTGTCTATGAGTCCTTCTCTTAGTTTTGTTTTATAGATCTTCAGTTGAGGTAGTACTGTTTCAACATAATTCTGGAGAAGTAAATCAAACAGTGTGACACAGTATGATAATAATGATACATACAGCATATAATCTAAACATTTATTGTTTATAATCTGCTATATATACATTCCAGGCAAAAATTGTATTTCTTTGCCTTAACAACTGACTTTATGGAACTAAATTGAAATTTAGAAACTCATTAGATGTTTTATTTTTAATTTGAAATCTCTTTCCTTTATAAATGATGCTATCATCATAATAAATAATATACATAACAATATACAACACAAAATGAAGACTAACAAAATTAATAAAATTATTGAGATAGTCAATGCTACAGTGTAGGTCAGGAACATTATTTTGTGATATTTTAATTTGAACACAGACTCAGAACAATCCTGTTGGAAGCACGAGACATGTTGAAATACAATGCTCCCGTCCCTTAAAGCTGTCATTATATCATAGATATTAATCACTACATGTACTTTTAACAGGAATAGATTAGGCCTATAACTGACAAAGTAGTAAGATCCCTCTTTCCATTTACTTTGATGATTACCAATACATTACCGTATGTAAATCTTGCTAGGAATCTTATACCAAACACTTGTACCTACCTTGTCTGTTATTGCATGTAGTAGTTTACCATGGAATGCTAATCTACAAGTATTGGTATGTGCAGGAGTGTAGTCAAGGAAAAATATAAACACCTACGAAACATGTGTCATGTCAACTACTTTGCTAGACATTTAACAAAATACTTTCCTAAAAAAGATTTTAAAATTTGCTATAGAGATCACTCTGGGTTCAAACACTGAAAACTCTATTAAGTACATTTATCACCAAATATCCGCAATCAAATTCAAAATTTGTAGAAATGTTCCAGTACCTAACATTTATGGATTTTACAATTGATCTTCACTAATCAAAACATCTCTATATACATAATAAAACAAATTTCAAACAATGTACAAGACAGTTATAAATATATAAATACCATTTATGGCAGTCTTAGTTTAAACAACCAAAATACATAAATTGTCAAAAACATTGGATGATTAAAAGGATATGAATGTCTGTATCTAATTTTGACCCGATGATTAAGCAGTTCCTTGGACACGCTACTGGCTTTTCAAACTCCAGCAGGGCCCACTGTTGAGTTGGCAACGTCTCCTTCTCTCCTTCACTGGTGGCTCCTGGAATGTTCTCCTTGTTATGCTCCTGCTTGCCCGTACTGTCCACCGTGTGGAGTTCTTCTTCGTACAGGTACTCTGGTTCAAAGTTAAACTCTGACAAAAGGCAATGGTATCATGTGAAGTTGACTGACCACCATCGACATCGCTACAAGGGGGTGGCAGTTTGTCACCCTATTGAAATTTTGTCGGCAAATCAGTGGGTTTTTTAAAATACAAGTAAATCTAATTCTTGTTGGAAAAAAATTGTAAACATCTAAGGGCAGATTTTCAAATTTGAGAAGCAATTTTCATCTTTGTTGGCAAATTATAAAATCTGAACATGTTTAAGATTTGCTTTTTGGAAAATTGTTTACAAGTTGGAAAATCTGTTGTATAAATCTGGCAAGACTTCACGCCCCCCCCCCCCTTCAAAAAATTTCAATGTAGAAATTTCCTTCCCAGAATAAAATCTGGAAATGCTTAGTGTGTGACAGGGGGTCTGTCAAGCCCCCCCCCCCCCCTGAAAATGTTTCTACATGACTTTGGAGATGGGTGCAAAGTTTTGCGGGGGTTGGTTGCTTCAAGGCAGAGATCCTCATCTTGAGAGTAAGGCATTCCCCCCCCCTAGATTTTAAAGCCTCCAAACATTCATATTTTTAGGGTCAAATAATCCATACCTAATGCTTGATCATGTGTTGATGAGCAATTTTCATCCCTGTCTGCAAATTATAAAATCTGAGCATGTTTGGCTTTTGCTTGTTGGAAAATTACTAACTCTGGCTTAACATCACCCCTCCCCCTAGATTTTAAAGCCTCAGAAAAAGCACATTTTTTAAGGTTAAATAATGCATACCTGATGCTTGAGCATGTGGTTGATATTGATGACCAGGGGCTGGTCCAAAGAAAGATACCTTCCCCATCACAGTCTCATGGCCCATGGTCACTGTAATACATACATAGAAGATAAAAAAACTCATCTCAAGTGAACACAGAATAGTTATAAAGCGCTTCCAAAAAGATTATTTGTGTTCAGTTTAGTACAATTTATACTATTTGTCTGCCTTGGCAGCCCAAAGGGAATAATAGAATTACTAAATAACACTTGCAATGCACCATAATATCAATTAACAACTTATAAGCCAGAGGCACAAAGTGATATCGAAAAACTTTATTTTAAAACAATTCAGGAAATATGAAATTAAACTTAAGATACAAAGGTGTTTGTATCTTTATGCTTTTTTTGCTTTTAAAGGTAAAGACCAGTTATGGTCATGCGATTGCATTGTGAAAGAAATGTTGTGGGATCGATCAGAAAAGGTTGATCATCTAGCATCTAGCATCTGCAAGGTTCTAGAATCATCAAAATGATAAGAAATTTGGCCCATTCTTCGTAAAGTTACAAGCACTATACACAGAAAGATGTATATGGGACTACCCTATATCTCTCACAGACCATGGGAGAAACAAATTTACCAAATATATGAATTAGTAGGCGGTTTCCCGGCAAATTTGTTATCATCATGTATTAGTCAAAACATATTCTTTCACATGATTGGTAATGAGAGCTTCCATTTCATTTTTTGAAGTTGGGGCGTTTCTAATACTGGTCTTTACCTTTAATGGAAATCTGTCTGTCTAAATGTTTGAGGTACATATGAAATATTAACTGTGCGAAATCCTGCCAGACCAATAATAATTGCTGGTATTCTTTGTGAGTGCCGTTAGCTTCATAGACAACTTCATGAAAAATCTCCAGCATAAATACAAAAGGGAATTAGAGATATATTTCACTGAATCATATATACTTTTTTTGCATCAGGGAATCTGAACCTAAATTTCATCTATGTTTCAATTACATCCGACAGTCTGGATATGTGATCATTTGAGTTTCTCTACAGGGTGATATAAGTCAGCAAAACATACCATGAAACTTTGCCTTTGTTGCACATGTTCCTTTGAAGTATGGTATTCTGTGTACTGATACAATGGCAGCTAGAATAAAGAAAAATAATTAAATTGTTCATTATTTCTCTAATTTATGCAGGATTAAACTTTCCTTAACTGAAATTGTGACGTATTATGAAGTCCATATAAAACAAGAGCAACAAATTTGATTATTTTGATTTTCTTTAGTAGACAGGATCCTATTCAAAGTTCAGGTATAAACAGATTCCATCGTAATATATAAACTAATGAACAATCACAGAGACACTGACTGTAAATTATTTTAAAAATACACAAGAGCTGTAAAATATACAAAAGTATAGGGAAGCATGGATTTACATTCAATATCTTATAAAGACTTATATGCAGTGACAGACACTGACGTATGATGAATGCAACAGATGTTGCAAAGTATTCAAATAAGAAAGCTAGTCAATGAAATAGCACTTAGCTTTTCACAATTCTTGTAGAATTGCCTTCACACATACATACATACATACATGTATGTCAATATCAACCAAATGCTTAGCAGCATTGTCTCGTCCTCCTATTTCTCAATGAGGCACACTCACCGCTTATTATGGGCAGTATCCCTGGAGCACACACTAAACCCCTCTCCAATAGCTTAGGGTCAAACTGAGTAACACACAGAGCTACACGATCACCCTGGATGGCCGAGTTGACAGGTTTACGAAACATCTGCATGGATTTGACTTTACGTGTGATCTGCAGTGACGGCACTTCAACATTCTGAGAGAAAAGATATCATAGAAGATTGTCCGATGACTTTCAATTGCTTCATCGATAAACAAATACAAAATTGAAACATAAATTCTAATATGTGTTATTATAATGTATAACAGAACTTTAATTTTCAAGACAACAATTTCTTTCTAAAAGTAATAAATATAGTAAAATTTATTGAATGTTACATCCCATCTCAATTACATTTAGGAACACGGCGATGTTTTGGTGGAAACTCAATTAATTTTCTAGGTGAATTATACATCATATCAAATACAAGAATGGGAAATCATTTTATTCCAATGACATACAAGTGTATTATTCTATTGTTTTTTTGAGACAGACAGATGTCAATCAACTTATCTACATTCTACTCACACATAAAAACTCTACTATGGTCTATGATTTTAACAGAATTAAAATCAATGTTAGTTTATTTCCTCAGACTCTCTCGTTAAATGAACTCGTGACGTTGAAAAGGTTACTGTTGGACTTACATCACCAATGTTGATTTTGCCACTGAGTACTGTACCGGTCATCACAGTGCCCTGACCTCTGATACCAAAACAATGGTCAACAGAGTAGAGCAAGGGACCAGAGGAGTCACGCTTGGGGACGTACGTCTGACGCTTCAGCTCCTGCATGTTATAATCAGAGAAAATGCAAATTTTCAGTTTCTGACCAGTTTTCCTTGTCTTCATTACTAAAATATGAAGGAGATATCACGAAATTCATTCCAAGGATTTCTTTTAAAAGAAATAGGATAATACTGAGCCAAGAGAGGTTAATCTCCATCCCCCTTATAAAATGCTAGTCAATATGAAATGTATTGCTAAAAGGCACTCAGCCTCTGAATGCTTGAAGTCAATATTGCAGATATCCATCTCCCCAAATTAGCACATCTTCTCATCACAATACATCCAATACAATTAATGTGTGAAGTTAATGAAGTTGGAAGGACCTGATCCTTTGTGAATGATCTGTAACTTGGGTATAACTGCAGAATACCCCATGATGCATCACTACAATGAATTGGGGTCATCATTAAAGGGATTGGGTAACTTTGTCTCAGATTCTGAAACAAAATCCTGGATTTAGCTCATGTTGCAATGATAATTATAAACCTTTAGGTCGGTCAGGAACCCCATGACTCTTCCAAGCCGATCGCCTGTCTGATTATCAAAATATTCATGATTGGAAATCAAAATCAAATTTTTTTGTTTTCCTAAAAGTTTTTACAACACTACAGTTTTATAACATTACAGTTGGGAAAAATGAGTATGGTAAAACTAGTCACTCAAAGATTTTTACTTTTTTGAGACACTTCATGATCATTTTGAATCGCAATTTTTTTAGGGCTTCAATATTACACCATATCACAGACACTGATAACACGTAGGGCCATGCATCTCAGATTTAACATTGTTCAACGATGCCTTTACGGTTAGGGTTAGGAATCAAGTCAGTGACAGATTTAAGGTTAGAGTAACAGGGTTAGGGTCAAATTTAGTGCAAGGGTCAGGGTCAGGGCTATGGTCAGGGTTAGGTACTAGGGTCATAGCTAGGTGAACATGTATGTCAAGCTATTCTGGAGTAGTTCTGCAACCGTACCTCAATAAGAGTCTGTATTCCTTCCGCTCCTTCTTCTGGTGCATCAGGACCTCCAGGTTTGGCTGCTACAGGGATTACAGGACAATTAGCAAACTTGGTAGACTCCAACGTCTTCAGCATCCTCTTAGTCATCTGCAGGAGTGACAATATTTATTCATTGTCAGTGATTTTCATTGTATATATGGAAGTTAATAATCACCTTTAGCAGCATTGAAGAATTGATAAAACTTTTGTTCAATATCATAATGAGACTGTATTTCTAGAAATTTATTTTTAGGTTTGTCTTTCAAGAGTTATTACATGCAGGGCATCAGTTTGCACATATCATCTGTTGAGACCAGAAGGGCGTTACTGTAGCTCATATACTTTACACAGAGTTGACACCCTTCTGGCTCTCAGGAGTTTGAATGATTCAAAACCTCCTAAACACAATTAATGAACGTACTACATAATCCCCAATACCTTCTCGACAGTTTCTTTCACAATTCAATTGCATGACCAGTACTCCACTTTATCTTTAAAGCCTCAAGAAGCTAGAATTTAATGTATGCTAGTGACTGAGTACTTGACCTCCTGCTACTTGCCTTTTCGATTTGCTGTTTCTTCTTTTCTGGTGGTAGCATGTCTACTTTGTTGAGAACAACAAACATCTTCTCACAAGCAATCTGACCTATCACCAAACACTGCACAGGATAGAGGTGGTGAGAAACAATGTTAATAAGTGTTATTGGTTTTAAATCAATTTTTTTAAATTGAAAGATTCATAGATAATTCAATTTCAACAATGTCAGGAAAATAGGCATTTGTGTATTCAAAATGTGATTTGAAAATTATTACCTCAGTTGATCCAATCAGTCAACCTCTGGAAAACCAGCTGTCTTTACTTTCTTTCTGATTCTTAGATTTTCTTTATCCACTTAATGATATTTTGGAGGAAACTTTTTACAAAAGTATTGGTGGTACAAACAAACATAAAATAGCTAAAAGCACAATGGTACTTTAATATATATATATATGTCAAGAGTAGTGACATCTTCATGGGAATAACTCGTGAAGATCAATAAAAAAACACTTGGTTTTATGGTAGCTTAACTGGTTTGGAAATACATGGAATACTGCAGGACTAATAATATTTGCAATATTTACCTCTGCTGATTGTGTCTGCATTCCTTTTGTTACATCTATGACCAGCATCATGAGATCAATGATTTGTGCTCCTGGAGTAGAATAGCATAAATAAAGTAGCGGTCAGTTCATTTATTTTTCATCATCAACCACATCACTCTAAATGCAACAAACTGGATCAAGCTTATGGTTATTGGTTGTTGTTATTTAAAAAATACTTTTTAGTCAAACCAAAATATAAATGTTATATGATCCATAGCATCTATAGCTTGAATGGAATACTGTCCTACACACTTCAGTCATACCCCCATCTAGTCTGATCAGGCGCGTACACAGGGGGGGGGGGGTGTTTGGGGGGTTAAACCCCTCCCCCTTTGGTATTTTTATGTGTATAAACCCCCCTAAAAATAAACCCAACCCCCCCCCCCCCCTTTGGGTTTTTTATTTTTTTTAAATAAAAAAATAAAAAATAAAAAATTATTCCCATGGCTGACCTAAAAAAGGCGACCTTACCCCCCCCCCCCCCCCCCCCAACGGAGCAAAATGTCCAATTTTCAAATTTCGAGACCAAAAAAAAAAAAAAAAAAAAAAAGGGTCCTCTTACCCCCCCCCCCCCCCCCCCCCCCCCCCCCCCGCTTATTCAGCGGCCGGGCTGAGTCGTTGTGATTTTTTGGGGACAAAAAAAAAAAAAAAAAAGTCTTCTTACCCCCCCCCCCCCCCCCCCCCGCTTATTCAGCGGCTGGCTGAGTCGATGCGAAATTTTCGGCCCGATTTAAAAATGTTAAAACCCCCCCCTTGAAAAAATCCTGCGTACGCGCTTGAGTCTGATTAATAGGGAGAACATAGAAACAGCACCATGTAGCAGAATTATACACAACTAACACAAGTCAACTGTCTACTTTATTTCTCCCACAAATCCTAACACAAAATGATGCCACAAATACAATATTTTTTATTTCGCTTTATTTAAAGAAGGGCTGTAACAGCAATGTGTGCCTTGGTTTCTTAACAAAAATAATCTGATGTGTAATATATATGTAATAGTTACCACCTTAGAAATGACAAAAACAAAACTATCAAAGTATTTCTCTACCTCCAATGATGGTCTTGATGAGAGAGGCATGGCCTGGGCAATCCACTAAGGTAAACTGTAGTTTGTCATAATCACTGGCTGGTATGTGATCAGGAACATCAACAGAAAATGAAGAAAATCCTGCAGGATGAAGATAAAACCAACACGAAAAAGAAATGTTTCCAAACCTAATTAAAAGCAATATATTAGGAAAATACAGAGGTATCCTTAACCTCTTTCAGACTACAGCTCAATACATAAATGACTATAGAAAAGTAATTAGATATGAAACACCTAACCATTATTTTTTTTCTCTTCTTTTTGAGCAAGAAATATGCATTGTGAGCCTAATATTGAATTCATTTGTTCTAGAGATATTTTATACAACTGTAGGTGGTAAACTGGTAATCCATTCTTCCTCGTGCCTTTCCTCCATATTTACTTTGAAACCTGGTGGGTGTTTCACAAAGATTTCTAAGTCAAACTTAACTCTAAGTTGGACTTAGAAATTATGGAGAGCCATTTGTAGCCTTAAAATAAAATATATTCAAAAGCAAAAATTCAAGTATTTAACATTTTTCATAAATTCCACATCAAGAGCATGGAATCTCCTTGATAATAGAAAATATGAAAGATTTGAATCAACATTTTATGCCTTTTAAAATAACTTTTACAATATATTTTTAAATATGCTAACGGCTTTCCATAATTGTTAAGTCCAACTCAGAGATAAGTTCAACTTAGAATCTTCGTGAAACACCCCCCTGGTCTACAAACATGTGAGTGTCTTTTGAAGAGTAGACCCTTCCTGGTTTCCCTAAACTTACCTAGATCCAATGTGATCCCTCTCTCTTTACTTTGTGGATTTTTATCAAAAGCTGCTGTAGATGCTGTTGTGCTGAGTGCCTTGGCTGCAAAATAATGGATGACGAATGAATGATGAAAATATTTCAAAATCATGATCAGTAGAGTGACGTAGAATAACTATGGTGTACCAACCAAATACCAAATAGAGATCAGGTATTTCTACCTCACAGTCACACATATTTTGTTTATTGACCGAAAGACAAAAGAGAATAGTGATCTTCCAAGTAATGGCAAGTATTTCAATGGTATTTTTACAGACTAAGAATATGACTTATCAATAATATATTGTATCAGCATGATCAGAATTTATATTGCAAGCCGTAGTCGTAGACGTAGTCCAGTAAAAAACATAGGATTTAATTTCTTATTAAATAGATCTAATTGTAATGCTCATTATTTATGAATATGATTTAGAGTAAAGGAGCCCGTTTTCGGCCACTTAAGACAAAATCCTATTTTTAGGACTCTTTACTTCCTATTTATTATCATTTCTTGTTCAAATCATGAAGCAAATATTATTATTATTTAAACAAAAAAAGAATCCCAGAAAAAAATCACGAATTGCCATGACAATATTCATTTCAATTTTCACTGTTTTGGAGCCGGTTATCGGCCGAGCGTTTCAGTTTACGGCCGCATGTACAAAGTCAATAGGAAGCGCGCTCGCGCGCGCCGTGCGTTTCCGCGCTGATGTACAGCACAAGCGGGCGGAGCAGGTATCCCACGCCAGAGCTCCCTGGTGCTCGCCTGGCCGAAGACAGGCACAGCGGTGATCGGAAGTTGGAATCTGAATTAGACAGAGATATCGTGTGTGTGTCGCGGTGTGCGGCTGCATTGATTTAATACATGCGATGAGATACTTTTGAGCTTGCGACTAGCACAAAATCGGGCTCTAAATCTGAAAAATACTTGAAATAAAGCTCATTTTATGGTACCCATATTTCTTACATACACGCGTAAGATACTCGATTTTTCAGATTTGGGTAGCGGGACCGGCGATTACATCGCTAAAATGTGATATTTAGGATATATTTTCCATCGCAAATGTGGTTCTTCAGTGACACTGGCATGGTATGGTATGTGTGGGATATGTGTTATGCTATTATGCGATGTATTCTAGAGTGATTTTACCTTGCATCCAACCGATCGGCCGAAAACTGGAGCTGGCCGATTACCGGCTCCTTTATAGCCTTAAGGGCTCTCTCGAAATGTTTTTTTAATGATATTATTCGAGAGAGCCTTAAACGGCTCCCATACCCCTGCACGGAGAGGCATGTAAACAAAACTCAAAAGTGGTCAAAATCACACTTTCGCGCACCCGACCAATATTGGACAGTGGCTTTGATAAATTTTGTTGTAGTTTTGGTCTTAATTACCGCTTTAATTTCAAAATCGGATCTTAAAATAACAAAATAAGAGCAATTTTCTTACCAGACCGATACAGCTCAGCTCCCTTTTCACGTGTACCGTGTGTGTGAATTCACGATGTCTACACAATGGTGATGACCTCTGACTGGCACTTCCGTAATTGTGGGTAAATTGTGCTGCTTCCGTATAATGCGCTGTATGAGTGTTATTCAGCTTTAATTTCAAAATCGGATCTTAAAATAACAAAATAAGAGCAATTTTCTTACCAGACCGATACAGCTCAGCTCCCTTTTCACGTGTACCGTGTGAATTCACGATGTCTACACAATGGTGATGACCTCTGACTGGCACTTCCGTAATTGTGGGTAAATTGTGCTGCTTCCGTATAATGCGCTGTATGAGTGTTATTCAGCGCATTATACGGAAGCAGCACATTTACGAAGTGCTAGTCAGAGGTCATCACCATTGTGTAGACATCGTGAATTCACACGGTACACGTGAAAAGGGAGCTGAGCTGTATCGGTCTGGTAAGAAAATTGCTCTTATTTTGTTATTTTAAGATCCGATTTTGAAATTAAAGCGGTAATTAAGACCAAAACTACGACAAAATTTATCAAAGCCACTGTCCAATATTGGTCGGGTGCGTGAAAGTGTGATTTTGACCACTTTTGAGTTTTGTTTACATGCCTCTCCGTGCAGGGGTATGGGAGCCGTTTAAGGCTCTCTCGAATAATATCATTAAAAAAACATTTCGAGAGAGCCCTTAAGGCTACTCCTTTACTCTAATTTAAATATAACAAGACATGTCATGAGATAACATATCATGTGTATTTGTATATTCTACCTTTAGCAAGGCAAAGGTGACAGGTACAGGTGATTCAAATAACACATGCAAAGACTAGGCCTAGTAGTGGTCAAATGGTTCAATTTACTCATGTTATTTTTCCATTCGCTTCAACTTACACAAATATATCGCAATGGGACTGTACATGAGGTAGCTCTCATATTCATTAATATAAAAAAAGGTACACAAAATGATTGAAAACATACCAAGTGAGGTTTTCCCACTGTCAACATGGCCAAGAACACCAACGTTGAAATTCAACAGCTTTGTTGTGGCCATCCTTTCACATATATTCAAGTCGATTCTGTTTAATTTTTCTCTCACTCTGATTTCTGCTCTGCAAAATAAACCTTTCATAGATCGTTTAATAGAGGGCGCACGCACCGTCGTCTGCTACTGCAGAACATGATAAAATGGGTAGGACAGACGATCTCTTTTTCAATATGTCTATAAGTGAAGCTAGTAAGAAGTCGTGTGATGAGAAAATTACATTTGGTGTATGTACTTCAATGTTAAATAAAATGTCTTTCAACAAATCGCCTTGGAATGACAGTTTGTCAGTGGAATTCTATCTTTTCGCCTGATATAGGGAACCTTGTTTTAGACTCCTTTGACTTTGAGAAAGGTGAATTGTCGACCACGCAGAGACTAGGATGCCAAACGGTAATAAAAAAGAAGATAAAACCCTTTAAACATTTGCAATTACAGACCAATTAGGCAATTACCCTTCTTAATGTTGACTATAAACTTAAGTGTTGGCTGAAAAAATGAAGAATGAATCGGAAAAGGTGATACATGTAGATCAAGTGGGATTTTTGCCTGGTAAGAATATAGAGGAGAAGCTGTGAGAATTATTGTCATATTTTACAGGTATACAATGTACAGGGGTTTTAGTAACAGTTGATTTTGAGAAAGCTTTCCACACTGTTTTACACTCATATATGAATGTATTAATGAAAAATATGGTTTTGGCCCAGTTGTTGTAGATGGATAGAAGTAAAGTATGATAATGCAGTTAGCTGTGTCATGAATGGCGCCTTTTCCACATGCTATATTTCAAATAGGCAGGGGAGTAAGACAAGGAGAACCTTTGTCTCCATATTTATTCTAGTAATCTTGTTAATCATAGAAACATTAGCAGTGGTTATTCGTAATGAACAAAAATTATAAGGCATTTTGATCGACAATATAGAGACGAAGATAGTAATGTATGCAAACGATTGGTCAATTTTTTTTTAAAGATACATAAGATATGAAAATCTTCGAAAAAATAACGGATTCCTTCACTCTGGTATCTGAATTAAAAATTAATAGGGACAAAACACAGAATATGAAGCTGGGGGTCTTCTAGTCACAGTAATGAAAATGTGACCGGTATTACATTGGTTAAGATGTTTTTTTCTGGTAAAGGTGCTTGGGATATATACTTCTCTTTGGATATCTATGTTAAAGAAGACATGAATTATAAAGAAATACTGAGCAAAAAATAAATGAATTATGCCACAATATTCTACATTTCTACATGAAGTGAGTTTCATATAGTCTACTTCAATAGATCCATATGGGCGTTCTATATTAATGGCGTATCCAGTGGCGTATATCCGGGGTCTCGATCCAAGTCACGAAACGACACGCGCAGCTGCCTAGCCTAGAAACATTCCATCTCTTCCCTCAAGGGGATTCTGCAGCCTCTCGACCCCTCCTAACCCCTATTAATTTAATAATATATCAATAATATTAATAATACATAGGATTTATAAGGCGCCAAATTCACTTAATCTTTTCGTCAAAACCCAAATTACCCAACTGATATCTTACCGATTTTGAAACATTTTGAATTTGAGCAGACAGAGTCATATTTGTATCAAAGAACACACCATGTTACAACACATTGTCTTGTGAGTTGTGACACATTGATATCATAATTACCCAGCAAGGGTAATGCTAGAAACAATTTTATCTTAACGATTTATTGAACTAGTTACTAGACAGCAACAATCGCTTTTTCGAAGTATTGGGGAGAGTCATGTGAGGTGGATTAAACCGTGTTCCATACACAATAAAATGTTACGGAAATGTAAATGAAATTATTAAAAAAAAATATATATTATACAGGCACACAATTGGAAAGATAGAACAAGGAAACCGACGACGGCGGCAATTATAAGCTACAGGGATCGGAGAGGAAGAGAGGAAAGGTGCTCTGGTGAAAAAGCTCATCAAAGACACGGGGGCTTTTTCTCACCCAAGCACTAACAAAGCAAATCTAGAGTATATACAAATTATACGCAATATTCAAAAATTATTTTTTCAAAAAAAATCTATGGGACACAAAAAAAAGATTACTTGGGGTCTAATCTTACGCGTAAAAAGAAGGTTTTTGCTTATCTGTATAATCCTAGATTTTTTTTGTTTCATGCTCGTAGACAAGACGTAGAGCAGTTGCCTTTTAGATAATTTGTTTATATTTTGTAATTAAATGTACACGTGAATCATAACAATTCCTTTCAAAAACTCGCAAAATCTCTGTCTAATTAACCAAAATAAATAATAATCTTTACATATTTCAAGGTACGATCATGCACAGCCCCTCCTGCCCACCCCTGAATCAGTCTAACCCAGATATTTTGTTAGTTTGGTGTAAAGTTTGAGCGATAAATTTGTATAGATTGTAATAAATCACTAATCGATCGGTGCCGTATTATTTATGTTCAATATTCACAGGCTTTGATGACCCTTTTATTAGATTCATTGTCATAAAAATCTGAACTTTAAACTTGAACTTAGGCTCGTTAAGCCTGATTGTATTTTTATAGTTATTCGCTTGGCCTGGTGAATGAAGTGGATTGTCTATTAAGTCAATTGATCTAGTGGTAACATTACGATAATATTTAAAGCTAAATATTTGCTGATGAGCCTATTAAATATCACAATAGATGCGTTCTCGCAGTTGGAAATTCAAAATAAAACTAAAGATTATTGGGAAATTATTCAAGAAGAGAAGAGTCTTTAAAACTGCACTTGCATGCATGAAGATAGTGACATAATTTATTATGTGTAATTTACTATTATTATTTATGTGGCATTTTAAACATACAATAGAAGGTACAATATAATGGCACATAGGATACCCTGCTGCACCTCCCGAAATTGCCTGGAAGATTAAAAGGAATGTGGAATTCCTGTAACCCGTAAGTCTTTTCTTCCGAAATAGAATGATAAATTTTATTGTACTATAGTTGTCATTTAGTTCCACAACAGTAAAGTAGGCCTAAATTGTCGCCAGTGCTCCCAATTTTTGAAATCATTGTGAATTTGAATTTTCTTTCACTTTTGTATACTTTCAAACTTCATTTGGCGTAAAAAAAGGGCACAACAAAAAAACTATTCATTTATTCAGATTATGTAATAGATACCTTCTCAGACCAACCTCGTTGAAAATCATACCTTTACCATCATGTTATAACACCAACAACCCTCTGTTTGAATGTTTGTAAAACTTAACCCATCGAAATCACTGCTGTGTTTGAAACTGTAATTGATAAACTCGAAAGCATGAGTGTGTTTATTCTTCGGGCCAAGTCAAGCTAATTGTTTATTCTTGATCGTAATCAGGCCAAACTTATGCGTGACAACGTAACTGACTGTGCTCAAGTGCCCGATTAGCTATTCGGAATATTCCGTGTTAAGGACTGTTCAAATATACTCGATGGAAACACATATATGATGATCATAAAAGACCCAGTTTCTGTAAGGCCAGATGGCATTGTTCCAAACTATACAGCGGCAGTAAAAATTTGGTGGTCGATCGTTGAGGAGTGTCCGAATTGATAAAGAAGAGGACAAATTGGACGTTCTATTATTGCAGGCATGACGAATGCCTTTTGTTTATGGAAATTCACAACAGTATATAAACATAATCGTATTTTCTGTTTTGGTTACTCATCAACTGGCGCACCAAGTATTTTCCACGTGAATGGCGGCAGTGGAAGTAGATGAACTGAATACATCAAAGCTCCAAATTGTAATATTGGCGCCTTTCGTGTAAGAGTAAATCTGTTTTCATATACCCTGGAACGTTGGGACCAAAATATTATGCATGGAGAAAACATTGTTGATGGAAAAGTGATGTCAAATTAACGACTAAATTTGACAGGAACTGTATGAGTCGTCGTGCAATAACATCATTTTGGAGCATCGGGGGAATGATTTAGTATTTGACACAAAGCTGCAGTGGATAATGAGATAAAACGTGAGAGAGTGGCGCTAAAGAACAATCAGCATCAGATGAAGAAAGGTGACAGCATTTCAATGGAAGGTGGCTCTCGAACAGGAGAGATAGCGGTCGCTAAACCGCGCAAGGTCAGTCAACTCATTGAAGCCAATCTATCCGTGACATCAACACGAGCTCGAGCGTTGACGTTCAGTGATGCCGTGAGCGACCGCGACAGCGAAGCTTCGACGTCGACGCAACGACGACCACCGGCGCTTCATCGAGATCGCGCGGCGAGTCTTATGAACTTGAAGCGAGGGGCGTCGCTCTATTTTGGCAAAGACATTACGACGTCTATGTGGTGGAAATACCGTCAGATCCATGGCGGCGTCGGGGCGCTACGAGGTGATCACCGTGACGGGACATTGGAATATGAGAACTCATACCAGCTCGAGCCACATTCGGGACACAAATTCACGCCGGGTAAAGTGGAGGAATGTATTCGAGAGGTACTGGGGTATCTTTTTGAGCATGAGGATTACGACCCAAAGAGAGCCGCCGTCTTGGCAGCGGCTATATCCGACACGGTTAAACAGAAAGTGAAAATGATGTGCGGTTTCGACCGGTATCGTCTGGTAGTCAATGTCGACATCGGATCGAGAGTGCCCGGTCAGGAAGTGGTGATCGCGAGTCGGTATCTTTGGAACACAGACACGGATGGGTTTGCGACGGTGTCCAGTCAGAATCGAACCATGTATGCTGTCGTTACAGTGTATGGTGTTTATATGGATTAGAATGACACCCTGCTTGACAAATTCAATAAAAGAACAGTATTCTGCAAATATATATTCATCAGTGACATATACAGAGCTTATTGACGACAAAAACTTCATTGAATTAAGCATAAACATAATTTACTGTACTAGAAATGTATGGACAAAATCATTATTGTTTTTAGGGAGAGAGAGAGAGAGAGAGAGAGAGAGAGAGAGAGAAATTCCATCTTTTGCGCACCTCAGAAGTTCAACTTGTATAGTTAACCAACTAAACAGTACTTTCGTATTGAATATCCCAATTCTTAGCTAGGGTCTATTTAGTTTTTTTTGTTGTTGTCATATTATCATTTACATTGTGCATTTCAATATCAATTAAATTTTATTTTATTTCACCAATTAAAGCGATTAAAAAAAAAAAGCATTCATAGAGCTATTGTTTCATTAAAAAACCCGAATACAAGTAACAAATGTATACATTGATGCAAAACTATAGAAGTTACTTATACTGTTTTCACACTGGCAATATTTTGCTTAACCCCGTACTATAGGTGGGGTTAAGGGGGGGGGGGGGTCTTAGCCCCACCTATAGTACGGGGTTAAGCCTATTCCACTTTCTGTTCAGACTGGTTTTTACCAAAGTGGGCTAAAGTTGGCTAACCCCACCTATAGTACGGGGTTAACTAACCCTGCAAAATAGCAGGGCTAACTCCGCAATTGTGGTGCTAACTCCTGCTAACCCCGCAATTGCGGTGCTAAGCAAATGAATGAGAACAGAAACGAAAAATAGTCCGGTACTACGCAATGGAGCGTATCGCAGCTGGCCAGATGCGAAGTATGTCCAATAATAACATTCACGATATCCGGGGTTAACGAAATGCAGTGAGAACAACTGGAGTTTTCTTATTCCAGAATAGGCGCTAGTACGGGACTAAAAACAGCGAGTGTGAAAAGCCAAAAAAAATAGTCCGGGGTTAAGGATAGTACGGGGCTAAGCAAAGTAGAGTCTTGGAAGGTAACAGCCAGAAAAGAAGTGACCCTTATAAGTGGCTAATCTAAAGAAGATATAATTAAAAGTTAAATGTAATTGTTAGAGGGTCAACCCTTTAAAATTATCGTCAAGTAGTACGAGACCGTCGTATCAAAGAGCTCTTTGGTCGTATACGAAATTATTGAATTGTTACACACCAACAGACTAGGTAGTAACTATGGCAATAAAATAAACAAGCAACCACATGACTTTATCGAATTCAATCAGTCCACTCTACAATCGGATGTCAATAAAACAAGTTCAGCTCGCACAAGGAATGTAGGCTAATGAGCTCACTGTCGCCAGGGGGGCCGAGATCTCTTACCAGAATGTTATTTTTTTCAGTATGTCACTTTTGCAATCAAGCGAAGCGAGGTAGAATAAAAGTGTTTATTATTGTGGTAAATGTGTAATTTATTCACTGTAACTAGACCACACGAACATGAAGTGGCGAATATTGGTCATTTCAACTGGGGAGGGGCGGGGGGGGGGGGGGGGGGAAGAAGCCACAGCAACCCACCCCCACGGTTGCTAAGCCTATGCCAGAAAATACACTATTGGCGGAGACAGGGGCGGAGACAGCCGGCGGCAGGGGAGGGGGCCGAATTCGTGAGAAAACATTAAACGGTGAAAGAGCCAGCCGGTGAATAATTTTGCCCCCCCCCAAAAAAAAAAAAAAAAAAAATTGAAGATTACACCTCTCCCCTCCCACTTGAGCACCAGGGGAGGGGCCCGTCTTCAAATAAAGGTAAAATTAACGTGTTTTTACCTGTCCCCAGGGAAGGGGGGGGGGGCCCGGCCCCCTCCCTGGATCCGCCACTGGACGGAGGTAGTCAGCTTTTAATGATCTCCAGTTAAGCTTGAACCTCCCAAGGGCTTTCATTATAATGTATGATTGTAAGAGAGGGATATAGAACATTGACAACATGTGTCATGTTTGATTTAAGATTGATAGAAAAAAGCAACGACAATATTTTGTATTATCACTATTTATATTTTCTAATTATTTACTCGATTGACATTATTTTATTTCGTCTGACATTGTGAACACTATTCGTCTTGTGCAGGTCGATACAAAGTCATGTTTTTCATGTTTAATCTTTATACACTAATGTTACGTAATTTTCCGTTTGTTTATGTGATAAATGTAAGCAAACGTTGGCAAGTCAAGATAAACGAAATCGCTAAAACAGTCATCGGATCGTGTAAAATATCATGTTACACCTTGGAACAAAGCCCTCTATATTGTAATCTTATCATGCAAAGTGTTTGCATTACAAGGGAATACATGTTAATGCCTTGTGTAGTACACTTATGAAATAGTGAAGTGTCTAATTAATAAGTATAAAAAACAAAACGGTCAGAAATTGACCTTGTATATTATAGTTTGTTCCATGTAGTTTTATATTTTATGAATATTTTATTTTACATTGTACAATTTACAATATAATGTGCATGCCATTCCATCATAAACTTCTATTACTCTATTGTTCGAATAATTGAATACAATAGGAAATGCATTCCTTCTGTTATATGATATTCAACCCCATTTTGTTTAACAATATAAAATACAGTAAATTGTGTATTCTGAATCAATAATGCAAGAGATATCATGAAATGTGAAGTCAATTAAACGTTTTATGAATGCCATGACCTTTGTGTGACATTTTTCATTTATACATGTCATGTATGTGTTCTACAGATTATTGGCGTATCCCTAGTGAATGATGCTGTCTACTTCCATATTCCTTTTTTTTCTTCTCGTATATGTTTTCAACTCGATTTTTGTGAATTTTGTCAGTCTCTCTCTCTCCCTCTCCCCCTTCCTCCCCGGCTCCCTCCCTCCCCTCCCTTCTCTTTCTTTCTATCTCTTTCTGTCCTCCTTTCTTCGGAAGGTATATTGGACTGTCCTTGTCCGGACCGTATATAGTTGTCACCTTATAATGCTTAATTACGCGTACAGGGGTCATAAAACTAATGACCTGCGCAGTACTTTAATTTCTAAAGCGGGAAAAGACATGGGCTATTGAAGGACAAAAGCTGTGGATAGCTTACGTGGGAAACGTGATAATGGGTATCATATTTTACAGAAAATATTACGTTGATGGAGATGGAAAGTGACAAGAATAAAATGTGTTTATAAAGTTTTGATCGTGAAAAAGGGAAGAAAAGTATCAATAAATCAGAATTGCTTTGATTTGACCATAGCCGGTAATTTTTGATAAATCGTTTGATTGGATTGCAATTCATTTGATAATAAATGAACGATGTAATCACATTGGTCGAGGCGATAGTCTTCACGCTTTTCAATGATTGTGAAAATGTGTATTTTGCCGAGGGAATATGAAAGAATGTCACATGACCTCCAATAACATTCACTTATCAATATATATGATGTCATTGTGTCACTCCCACTCAATTCATTTCAACTAGAAGTTATGAATCACAGATTAACTTATTACAATTATTGTTCACTATTTCATATTATAGGAAATAGATTTTAATTTTTGTATTTCAGTATAAGGTAATTGAAATGCATTCCAATGCACTGGTATTTCAAAATGTTCACTAAAAAATGAAAGGGAATGAAATTGTATGCATCTATTAAAAGTAAAAATGAGAAAGTGATTTCATAGTAGAAAGTTTTTTTTGTTTTGTTGTTGGGGGGGGGGGGGATCATGTAGTTACACAATTATAGTGATTCGAGCAGGTTGAAGAGGTTGACATTTTACACTTATTAAATCTGTAGAAATTTAATAGGCGGCATTTGCATATTGACTACAGTTGGCCGGTTTTTACAAATACAGTCCAAAGCACGCTGTTTAAACTATCACATGCCTTTCAATTATGCACACTCTCCACTCATATTTTTCAGCTACTTTTCACTTCTTAATTTCATTTCACAACCAAAAACACAACCATAAGACCATAGAATTCATTGTTTTCTTGCATTTAATAATGATAGCATCTTTTTCATATACACAACACTGTACAAATAATATTTAGCAAGAACAGAATTTAAATGTTCCCAATATTTGCAACTTTAACATTCATTCCATTCTCCAAAAAAAATGGAAATAACAATACTCTCTGAAAAAATGACAGAAATATATTACTCACATACGACTTTTATTTGTAACATTAAAGAGATAAAAACCAATGCATGCATATTATTTTGGTTTGGCACTACTATTAAACTATGCAACATGATTAGGAATTATGCTTCTAAAGACAATATGTTTAGAAGCAATATATTAACTTGCATTTACATGAAAACAACTTAAAATAACTTTGGATTTATGTCTTAATTAGCAGTCACCTGATTGTCAAACTAATGAATGAATGGAATAAAATACATGCCATTAGCTGTGTGTATATGGCCAAGGGAGTATATCATATCGTCCTTGTGAGGAAAATCGTAACGCAAAGTGAATGCAATTCTTTTTCACTACCGTCACTTCGTGAAAACAGCGACGATATTAAGCATTTGGACATATTTTGACCATATATTTTGTGGCATATTCTTGAGGGAAAAAAACAAAAAAACACTGACATTAGTGTCCGTGGCATCACACATGAATTTGAACAAATTTGTTCTCATTCAAATATCCCATAAACAAAAACTAATGTGTGAATAATATTAATACTTTATTGCATAAGACGAAGGGGTAACTCAAAGAAAATGAAAACATTACAGGAAAATACAAATACTGAGTGACATAAAGGAGATATAAATATACTTTGGCAAATAAAGAAATAAAAAGAAGGAAAGCATAGAACAAGCCATCCAACAAATTTGCATATTTCAAAATGAATAATTCCTGCTCATAGGAAGATAGAGGCAGTGACTGAGATCTGTATCTCAGAAAAAAAGTGACCTGTAAAATTTGATATGACAAAAGAACGGTGGGCAGGCTCTTGAAGACAAGTGTATAATGCGCTCAAAGAAAATATGGTGGGATTTGTGACCTCTGGAATGACCCGAGTACATCCTCATGTCACACTTGACCTGTAATTGACCTATCATCCAAAATTACATTATGGAATTGACAAAGTATCAATGATTTTTTTTTTTATGAGACTACAAGAAAAAAAAATGTCTGTACCTGATTCTTTCTGAGTTCAAGGAAAATGCTTATCTCTTTTGGCAAAACAAAAAACAAAATTAAGAAAAAAAATTAAGATGGGAAAATTGGCACATCTATTAACATAATTGGCAGTAAATAATTTGGCAATTACTACACATCCTAACAGGGACGATGCAGGGTACAGATGAATAGACTCACAAGACTTGTACAAGCGATGAATTATATTATAGAATTGTTGTTTTATAGCATACTCATTCAAAATATTGTTTTGTGTGGGAAGGGGACTAGGAAAAAAGCAGATTTAAAAAAAGAGAAAATTAATTAAGGTTTAAGAAACAGCAATGTGCATAGTGCTATTGCTTTCTGTCAAGCAATGTCCTTTCACTACGAATGAACTTAAAATTCCACATATAGAAATATCTATTACTTTTTGCTTTCTTTATCTCCATGTTTTCTTTCATTACACTGCTTTGGTTATAGCCATACACTTACTGACTTTCTATAATAATATACACTTTGCTCAATTCCTCTTTGATGGTTTTTCTCTTGAGAAACCGGCACACTACTTAAATTATTTTTGTTTTCATCGTTTCTTTCTTCTTCATATTGAATAATCGGCAAGTCAGCACTCACTTGCAAACTTACACATACAGAGGTAGAATAAAAATACACAAAATTCAATAGACTTCCTTCCATCGGAGTTAAATATTCCTCATCTCCATCCATCCATCTACAACATACAAACCACATAGATTGTATCACACATTGATTTTTACTTTTCACATATTCATAGTCTTCTCTTTATGTACACATTTCACATGTACACAGATCATATAACCCTTTTCACTGATACAATAAACTTAGTCATGAAGCCAGAGACTTTGGTTGATGGTTTGATTTTGTGTGCACCCAAGTGTGAAAAATATGAACTACCGGTATTGAGTTAATCATGAAAATCTTGAAAAATGTTAAAGAGAGTAATAGAATACGATGACCTGATAGAAAAGGTGTGTGTCCTAAAGTTTCTAGAAATGTATTTCCATTTCAGGTAAACCAAGGAACATGGTTGAAAGGAGAAAAATATGGAATCTGATCTCATTATGATCTTAAAATGTTTGTTACTGATATCATTATTTGAAGAAAAAAATGTGATGTACACTTGTATATACATTTTGAAATGTTATTTCTTAAGTAGATGTTTCTAAGACAAATATCCTGTCCTTGTTTTCTGAGATAACTTATAAGGCTAGTAACTTGATGTCGTAAAATTCAAGATTTGGTACTTTTAAAAAAGTCCTTGATATATGGATTTTAAAAAAGGGACAATTTGTAATATGGAACTGATAAAACTATCTCTAAGAAGTAAGAATATTTGGTTTTTAGTCTCGGCTTCATGACTAGATTTCTTTCAATCATTTCTTACGAAACGGTTCGGTTTCTACTATAACAACATCCATAGAAACCGTAACACTGGCCTCTTCGTTCAAGTCTGTACATACAATGCATTCCAATCATCATTGAATTCATAACCCGTTTATAAGTATATCACATATCCCTGTTCAACTACAGAATATCAAATCACATCTTGAGTTTGACAAGAAAAAATAATAGCATCCACATGCATCTAGAGTGATTTGATTTGATATCAAAATAAATTAGCATAGTTTTGAAATAGAATAAAGACATGAGTTCAGTCATGTTATATGCATCAAAAGTAAAGAAGACACAAATGATTGAATTAAATAACTGCGGTGGGAAGAGCATAAAATGAACGCACCTAACTGCATAATTTAGGTCTTCATCATTCAAACTATAAACAAAAAATATTGTCTCTTTGATTGATGAACATAGATAGTAAATAACAAAACTCCATGGTTAGCACTATCCTATCACATAACCAAATAAAAGAGACATTTTACATAAAAAATATGACTAATAGTCATCATTGCACTTCAAAATAATAACACATGCTGCAAACAATATGACAAAGGTCAAGTTTTTAAAGCTTTTCTTTCTTCTCTTAACAATAACAGGAAAAGTCACACCACGTATTACAAGAAAACACAAACATATTTAAGGTTAAATCAGTAATGTCCTTGTTTAGCTGACAAAAATATCCTTCTATTATTCATTGAGTTTGCTCTTCAACAATGGTTGGGTCATATGGCATAATTTTGGTCACACTTTATGCTTTGATGATTTATCAAAAAAGAATAAAAGTGACTTTGAATCTCTACAGTTTTTATGAATTCAACCCAAGAGGACCTTGGGGAATATTTTTTTGACAAGAAATGCCTTAATGGTTTTTCGAGAGATTTAGCTCTAAACAGAAATAAAGAACGTCTGGATAAAATTTATCATTACATAGGGCCTCGATGCATAGATTTATGCAAACTGCATAAAAGGTTACGTGAAGAAAATTCTTGCCTGATATGACTGATCTAACAAAGTGAGAAAAATTAAGCTAAAGAAATGAAAAGGCCAGAAATACCCAACATTCTTAATGGATGTACATGAGATGCATACACACACACATAACTGAGCATCTCACGATAATCGCCACAAAATTCACAGGGGGACACCTTCAAAGCACTTACAAAGTATTTCAGATCCTACACAAATTTGATTTCAAACTAACAACATGCAAAAGAATTTCTACAAAGCTATATCTACTGATAGATCATTTTGGTGTTCATTTCCAGGATAGAAGGTGAATTACTTGACCTTACATGTAAAAACAAGAATTATATACTGTCAAAAATCGAGTTGTGAAGAAGAAATAAAAAGTTTGGCACTCCATAGCATCTACATAGGCACATCTAGCTGTAATCGGTGGTGCTGCAACATCGATGTATCTTGTTTAGCGCAGATAACACAAAGCGGTAGAGGAGGTGATGACTTGCCTTCGGTGGTGCTGAGTAACATATCGTATAAATTAAATGTTTCACTTTAATATCCAGCTCTGATATACAGCTCAAATAACACAGGCAGAAATAACTGAGATTTGCATCCACATTTGTAAAAAGTTACATGAAATATTTAGCAACCATTTACAGATTATGTATTCCATTTAGACATCCTAGTTGTTTGCACACACAATGAGCATATTTCCATCATCGATCACCCTTGATAGTCCAGGTACGTATGTATCCTAAGCCAACCCATCAGGCTTCCGTGAGTGATGTTAACGTGGGTGATGTCACGTGATGAGCAGGATGAGCATTAGATGATGGTAAATAAGAAGTCCTTGGTATCGATTGTCCCGATTTGGGTGACGTTTTGCTTTTCACGTGGTGCTTCTCCGGATGGCGACCCGACTTTCGCGAGTTTTGGTGGGTCGGTTTCTCGTTGTGACGATTCGGGTGGTGGGGGCGGTGGTGGCTGTGCAGGTGGCCATTTTGCACTTGGTGGGTTGTCGTCGGCGGCGTCGTTGGCGATAGCAGCGCCCCGATTCCGGGCGAGACGTTGCCCGTGGAAGATATTGCAGTGGGAATGCTATGTGATTGTCTGATGGGATCAGCAACGGGGGAGTGATTGGTGTTGCTGTTGTTATTAACATTATTTACATGATTGTGGCTACGGCATAGATGGCCGTCTATCAAGTCTTTGTCTTGAGTGGAACTGGTGGGATTCTCGTAGAGGTGTACGTTGGGAATCCGTCCATTGCAGGGCAGTGAAGATGATGACATTGCCATCCTACTGTATGCGTCTCCCCTTTGTGCATTTTCTGAAAAATAAAAACAAAAAGTACAAAAGGTTAATCACATTCCAATCACATCTTTTCTTTGTCACTTCCATACAAGTTTCAATCTTTACTACTGGACTGGAAAAACTTTGACCGTCCTTTTGTGAGAAATTTCAAGGTACATTCAAAGACATATATATGAAGCATTTTACTACTGAGTATCAATATAAAAGGGTGCGTTTTAGCATCAACCTACAATAAATATTCATGCATGCAATGTACAATATTTCATAATAACTACCCAATTTTCTCAGTGGGGATCTTACAAGGTGCTGACACCTTGTAAGCCAACAAGCATGAGCCTTACCATGAGGTATGTTAAAGCTGCTGGGTGATGTACATCGTCCCTCTGGTGATGACACTGAGGTATAGGAATGGCAGCACTGGGGCGGTGGGTGGTTGCTCCTCCGATAATTATGTCTATTGACCGGTGAGGCCGTCTGGCTACCCAGACCCTCATCCGAGTTTGTCAAGAGTCTTTCTCTCTGCAACCTATCCCTGGTTGCCTCATCCATAAATACTTCATCCTCATCCTCCTCCTCAATCTCCCCCTCCTCGCCGTCGCTTCCCCCCTTCCTCAAGGGATGGTTACGCCCTCCTCCGCCCCCGTGGTGGAGGTACATGTGTTTGTTGATTGCACTGTCCAGAGAGCGACCTGTCCCGTTGCAGCAGGGCAGGGCAGTGAGCTGGCCACGCCTTTCTAAGGTCGTGCGATCAGCTTCACTGAGTGAGTCTGAAGGGCAGTACCTCTCCATGCCACTCTGGTGAGGCCCATCTAAAATACACAACATCAAACAAAATATGTTAGGCTTCTTATTGACAAGGAAATTTTTCACAACAGACTAGTTCACAAATGAACTGAAAACTAGAGATGATCCAAAAGCTTTCTAGAGGGTGTGTCCAACATAGCAAAAATTAGTTTATGCAATCTACATTTTGACTATTGGAATACTATTTACTTAAGAGGTTAATGCAATAGTTCATTACTAGTGTTCTCAAGTAGCTTTCATAAAAAGTTCAATTCATTTGTCAACTGGCCTATTGCAACCTCAATTCAATTTTATTCATCAATTTGAAAGTCAAGACAAGTAAGCTGAAGATGGAAAGTTACAAGGAAAGGAAGAAAGATGGAGAGAGAGAACGAAAATAGATAAATGGGAAAGGGAGAGAGAAGGTGTGGGCAGTGAATGAAGAAAATGAGAGAGAGAAGAAGAGAGAGAGAGAGACCTGTACCTTGAATGTTGCAGTGATGTTGACGAGGGCAGGGTGCTAACTCTGGTGGCTGGATGACTTTTGTCTCGCTGGGAAAGATGGCTGCCATGCGGACCTGATTGGAGAATCTGAAGGTACTGAGCTTACCCACAGGTCCGTCTAGAGAGTCACAGTCACTGGCATTGTCATCTTGGTACTTATCAGTAGCTGTAGAGAAGAGGGAAAAAAAGAGAATTTAAATGTTATTTTCACCTGTAATTTTGTTTTGGGCATAAATATCTTTCTATTGGGTTTCATCAAAAGTTTAATATCTTTTGTCTGTTCTCAATTTGAGTATATTTCTCTAAAGTCTAAACAAGTTAATTGTCCCTATTTTTTCTTCTTCAATGACTATTGAAAACTGCCCCCCCCCCCCATTATTTCCACTGTTCTACTTCCCTTTGTTAATTATGGACATATATGCATCCCCCTTCTCTCTCCCTCTCTATACTTTTCTCTCATATTTTCTTTCATATCTCAAACACTTTCATGATCAACATTATCATAACTTTTCCTTCTTAACTCATCTGCCCTGCACATCTTTGTCATATATATATTTCCATCTTGATATGTTTCCACCTATCTCTCTCTCCCCTCATCTACCCCTTTCTCCTCGCTACCTACCTGCACTAGAGACGCCACTGCTCGTCTCCTGATGGATGGTGCCTTCTGATGATCCGTTGAGGGTGGAGCTGGGAATCTCTGGGGGTACCACGTGATGATGGGACTCTTCCACTGTGATGGAAAATAAACATGTAAGATTATAGCCTACCATCTAGAAATTAACATCAATGGTCATGTGCCACACTTTGGATTGTCCATTTACTAATGAGCAAAAAAATATATCAAAGACATTACATCATCTATTCAGAGCTGAAAGGGAGTTAACTCAATGCCTTTTTGACTCTGAACAGATGGACTGATTTTAAGCTTATTCATCTAAAAAATTAGAAGGAGAAAACTCCAAAGTACATCATGCAGGCTTCTTATTATGCATGTTACATTCTCTAACGCTAATCTGGTTAAGCCTACATTTGTGACACAAGTGTGAAGAAACCCCAAAATACAAAAATTTACTTTTTATGTAGAACAGTGATTTCTTGTAGAATAGTAAATATGTTTTTTTAACCTCAGGGCAGCCTTACCTCTATATCTGCTTGTGCGTTTGCGAGTGTGATATATGATGACAACCCAGATGAGTGATGTACCCAGTATACAGCAGATGACCACTACGATGATGATGCTGGTGGTAGTCATGTTCCATACTGTACCAGAATCTAAACAAAAATAATAAGTCATTTCAATTAACATTATGTAATGATGCTTGGTAAGAATACTTATTGACCAATCAAAGCAAAGTCATGTGTTTCACAGAACAGAAGATACTTGTGCAGTAAATTTGATTATATTCAGGCTAATTGGTCATCATGCGTCAAGAATATTGTTTCTAAATGGATTACCACAAACAGACTTAAACAAGATGGATGTGATTGCATCAAGCCATCATTGAGTGAATTACATAAATATCATTTTCAAATCTAGATGGATACTTTTTACTATCAATTATTAAATACATTCATCTTATGACAAAATCATGTGATCCGAGGAAGGAAACTTACTCTGAGTAACAACAAGCTTTGCAGTGTCTGTCCGTACACCCAGGGAATTGGTTGCCTCACACGTGTATGTGCCACCATCTCTGCCTGCTGCGTTCATGATAATCAGGTAGCGATCAAAGTCAGTCAGGTGCATGCCATCGGACAGTGTGAACGGCTCCTCATCCTTGAACCACCTGATACTAGGACGGGGACTCCCCTCGACGTTACACTCCAGGACAGCCGGCTCTCCGACCTCGACGGTCAGGTCCTTCATCTGACGGGTGAAGAGAGGCGGCTCGAGGACGGTCAGAGTCGCGTTGGTGCTGATGGTGCCTGCGGCGTTGAGGGCGGTACACGTGTATACACCCGTGTCGCTTATCTGAACGTTGTCGATGTAGAACTCTGCAAGTTCGGTCTTGACCTTGATGCGGCGCTGGCGGGCGGCGGGGAAGTTGATGCCTCCGTCCTTCTGCCAAGCGATCTTTGGGGTGGGGTGTCCCGTGGCAGCACAGGGGAGTTCAGCGATTCCTCCAACACGTACGCTGACATGGCGTGGAGTGACAGTGAACGATGGGTAAACTGAAGAGGGAATAAAAATATATTCACAATCAATACAAAATCTACATTACTTTTGGCAAAAAATTAGTTTCTTCTCCACAATATAATAAAACAAGCAAAATCTGTTTAAACGTTGACTAAGAAGAAAAAGCTGTTTCAATGACCACCAAAGTTTTAGTCCAAATCTTCCAGTGAAGCATATATAAAAGATGGCCAATATAAGAGACACAAATTGGTCAGGCTACTAAATCGCAGAAATATTTGGAATGAGATACTCACTGTGCACTGTAACTCTGGCCTTCTTGGAGTATGTGACGCCAAACTCGTTTGAGATGATGCATTGGAATCTTCCCTGGTCTGCCTCCTTGATGTGAGGGAGGTTGAGAACAGAGGTGTACTCATTCACACCGCTGGGGTTCAGCCTCTCAAAGTAGATAGGGTTCGCATCCTCCATGATCGCCTGAAGATGATGAGAACAAAGAAAATCATCAAAATTAATCAAGAGTCGTACTGTTTGAAGAAAAAACAAATAATATACCGTACTTATATAGCGCATATCACAATATGTCTCTATGCGCTATAAGAAAGAGTAAGAAGGAAAGGCGGATAAAGGAACATGATAAGAATTGGCACGGTCATTTTGGAAGACAACGTCAATTTAAATCTAGGATGTTATGTACATCAGGAATCCAGAGACTATATCAACTACTTTCCCACTGTGCTTATAATTATGGATGTATTAGTCTTCACTCATAGAGCGAAAGTAATATCTCATCAAGATTACATTTTCTGAAAACGTCTTTCTTTTTATCAGAAATGACTATATCTTAAAGTTTGATTATCAGATTTTCCAGACAAAAACCCAAGCTTTGCTACTACTTATCTTTGCAACTGGTAGCTGAATGAAATTTTAACATTAAAATCAAGAGAGGATGGTTTTTACCAGGTGTCATTTATAGAGATGTTGAAGGACAAAAATGAAGGAAGAGTATGGAAAGGTTTATGGATTTGAAGAGAAGTGGATGAGAAGACACGTAACAAGTAGTTGAGAAGGGAACATACCTTGTCTTTCTTCCATAGCATTGTGACCTGGACATCGCTTGTGCTGCCAGCTGTGCATATCAGAGACACATTGTCATTCTTCAGTGATGTCACTGTCTCAGGTTCACGGATGATAAAAGGTTTCAACCGATCATCTGCAACAAGAAAAAGAAAGGTAACAATCATAATAAACCAAAGGGAAAAGCAAAAACATCCATTTTATCTGTCAAAAACTGTAGCAGAAACATAACAATTCAGAGTTAAACAAAACAAGACATTCCTACTTCCCTGTCATACAGGATCTTTTCAACCCATGCTGATAGTCTTGACATTTGCCAAACCCTCTAGCATGTAACTCTGGATGAGAAACATGACAGGGTAATTGGCCGTTTGTCAAAAAGTTACAACATCACTAACAGCAATATTGAGTTCAAGTATCTTTTAAGTCCAATATTGTCCCCTTTCCTGCCAACGAGGATGCACAAATATGACAGGTTGATTGCTAACTTTTTAATCTTATCGAAAAGGGTGATAAACACTTGAAGAAAACAGAACATATTTCATATAATATCCATAAGGCAGTGAGGAAAGGAGAAAGGAAGAGAGATAGAGAGAAAAAAATAAAGATATGAGACCTATACAAAAATGATAACAGAAACGATGAGAGTGTAGAAGATGTATAGCAGAATAGATGAGACACTGCATCAGGAACAAATAGTTAAAAAGGAGAGTGGGAGAGTGGGAGAGTGAGTGAATAGAATACGACAACCTATAATCTAGCCTTTCAACATTTCTCTTATTTATCTTACAAAACTATGTCTGCTAGGGGATGTGGGGGCAGGGCAGAGCAAGTTGCAACAATTTGTAACTTGTCAGCTCGACTTAAAGTTTCCTCGAGGAGGTGAAAGTAGGTTATCTCATGGCTTAAGATAAAGGTTAGAGGAGGCTGATATGGGCCAGCATGGGAGGGGCAGAGGAAAGGGTATGTGGGCCAATGTCAGATACAAAACTGGGAGAGTGAGGGACAAAGATAGAGGTAGAAAGAGACAGAGAACGAGAGAGAGACAAAGAGAGAGAGAGAGGGAGAGAGAGATGGGTAGACAGAAAAAGAGAAAGAGAGAGAGAGAGATAGGAAGACAAAAAGAGAGAGAGAGAGAGAGAGAGAGAGAGAGGAAGGGAGGGAGGGGGGAGGGGGGGGGGGGGGAAGAGAGAGAGAGAGAGAGTGGATGGGGGAGGGAGAGAGAGAGAGGGAGAGAGAGATGGGAAAGGGAGAGAAGAGGGTAAAAGAGAGAAAAGAAAGGGATGAGGGAGGGTGGGGAAGAGAACAAAATAAAAGAAAGGGAGAGAAAGTAAGAAGACAAAATGGATACAGAGGAAGAGAGAGAGGGAGAGTGAGTGAGTGAGAGTAGGGGGCTACATATGGGTAGGTACCCCCAACATAATCAACATCACATACAATTTCCCTTGTGGGACCTACTTACCACATGTAAACACTTCCGGATCGACACTGAAGATATCCAAGCCCTGGAGAGTATCTGGATGGGCGCAGCGTCCATCCACTCCTTCACCAAGATTGTTCTCCTTTATCCAGACTGGGAACCATGCCATCTGACAGTCACACACCATGCTAGAACTGTTCACCAGTCTGAAAGAGGCAAGGTGTACAAAAAAAAAGTATTAGATATTATGTCTAATATTAGCGAAGTGACAACTAATACAAAATTTGAGCGAGTAAAATTCTTCCATCTAGGTAGATGTTGTATTACTTATCTCTCTATATTTTCATTAACCAGAGAGCTCGATTTTGTACCGAAACTGGTCTTAAATGCATGAAATGTCATCAACATTGTCGGGCTACTTCATATGAATGCAGAAATGGTGTTCCAGAATGTAATACAGTATTATTTTGATGCTTATACTTACAGTTGGGTGAGTTGGGGCATGCCTTCAAATGCATTGTTCTCCACTGTTGTGATAACATTCCCAGCAAAGTCCCTGAAGAAACAGATATGAAGAAGAAAATATAGCTTGTCAACATTTCAATAAATTCCCTTCATAAAACCACTAACAAAAGAACAAACTTCAGTGTAGCATCTCAAAAGTACGCTTCCAGGATCTAGCACATGAAGTTGATTATTAACTTGGGTTAGTATGGTATTCTATCATTGCCATGCATAGTTTGACCTACATAAAATCTAGAGATTTTGAAGATTTGAAACATGTGCAGCCACTTATGACCGGTAACACTGTACATGACGGTGCAGTATGATTCATTCATCGAGAATGGCATTGTCTCGTCGGAGCGTCGACCAGCTTCCGGCTCGCCCGTCATACAAACAGCTTTGCAACTGACAAATGAACAGATACATGTATCTCTCCAAAGCTGAGCATTTAATATATGAAGGATGCTATCTACAATGACTCTACAATTTATATGGAAGGTTTTCTATGAAAACCATATCAGTTTGTAGAATAATAGAGTTTGTTTGCAAGTGATTAGAATCCACCACCTCCCCAAAACCCTTAAAGCCTATCTGCACTACTTTAGCCAGGAGGGATTAGACCTCCATGCATGGTCACTGACAGGTGGTTACCTCATCAAATCAGCTCTCAATTAACATAAGAAAAAGGGGACTATGGGGGACCAACGGGAACCGCTTGGGCATTGTTTGCTCTATAGAGGGCGCAAGTAGCTACAAGTAGTGCAGTCCCGCTTAAATGACAGAGACATTATTGATGTGACTTACAGAGACTGGAGATTGACAAGTCCACTGAATGCTCTCCTGGAGATAGAATTGATGTTGTTATTGGCCAGTCCTAATCTCAGCAATGATTCAAGACCCTCAAAGGCACCCGTCATGTCATCCACTGTCCAGGCAATGACGTTATCGCTCAGGTCCCTGCAAGGTGAAACCATCGAAGAAAGAGAAAAGTGTGAATAAGGAACACTTCAATGCATCTCATCTCTATGTGAAACTCTTGTGGGTAGTGTTTCAATACATCCAATGCTGGAAGATATGCATGGTAACACAAGATATATGGCCAAGTCTTGACACGTGGATCTGGTGCTGAACATATGGAAGGAGGAGTTGAAGGACCATGCCAATACAATAAAATTCTGTACAATAAATCTATTTATAAAGGGCTCTTATACCAAGGTTTCACAGTGCTTTACAGAGTTCAAACTGTGTTTATCAATCAAAAATATACTATTAGGTAAAAATTGTAAATGTCTTTATATGTAATACAGCTCAAACTTACAGGACTTGGAGTAGATTGAGCTGGATGAATGCTCCATCAGCCACCTGAGTGACCCTGTTATGATTGATGTAGAGCTCCCTCAATAGAGGCGGCCAAGGAGGAACCCCTACAGACCCTGGAGCGCCCCCACTGGTTCCCTGAGCAGCAGGACCCCCGCTCTCTCCAACGCTCTCCTCCTCCGTCTCCAGCGTGGTGAGCCTGTTGTGAGAGAGGTCCAGGTACTCCAGGTTGGGACAGAACTCCCATCCGGAGGCCTCCGTCTCGTTGATACGGTTGTGGGCCACCGTTAGATGGAGCAGGGACTTGAGACCAAAGAGCCACCGGCGGCTGATGGTGGTCAGTTCGTTGCCGTCCAGCTCTAGTTGTTGGATGGCGTTGAGCCCGTAGAAGGCGCCGTCCATCAGGTCGGTCAGCTGGTTGCGACTAAGGCTGAGTTCCTCTAGAGACTCTAGGCCACTGAAGACCAGACTGTCCACTGTGGTCAGCTCATTGCGACTCAGTTCACTACAAATAAAAACAAGAACAAGAACAAAGAGAGAAAAGTTAATATTATATATAAGAAATTAAAGATTTAAAAAATTGATACTGCAAAACAATCATACCAAAGAAGACAGAAAATTAATACAAGTATCATAAAATGCCAGATACCAATACAAGATTTTCTGGAACTTCTGAAAATATTGTTGTATACCGGTAACAGGTAACATAAACACAATAGTAGTGAAAATATAATTGTCAGAATATAGAAGCATTATAGAATGGTCACAGAAAGAAAGAAAAATTCATGAAAAATCGAAGGAACATCATTTCGAGCTTGAATGAGTCATGAACTGAAAAGCCTAAAACAACAGGGGGGTTATTCACAATACGTGTACTTTCACAAGTTGAATTCCTGGAGGCAGGGGACACAGCTACATTGGCAAGAAGAAGTTTTCTTCAAAATCAATTGAGTACCATCTGGTAAGGGAAATGGGTTGTTCTGCATCATTAGCACCTGAGGATTATCAACTACCTTGTATTACCATCCCCTACAGAGAATGTACTTAGCCTAGGTAGTCCAGGAAAGAAAAAAAAAGAATGACAGAGCTTTTTACTTTGTTCTACCGGTATGTGTATGGGGATGGGTGGGGTGGGATCATGGGGGTAGTCTAGCACCCATGTCAACTGATTTTCTGTGCCATACTGGCATACTCATATTAGCGATATTCCAAACATGGGGATTCATTACAACAGAGATAACGCTTCCATTTCCTACTAATCACAACATGAAGTAACTCCATCAAGTTCTAGATCAAAGATTTTATGAGCTAACAACATACCATTCAAAATGTTGTGAGAAGAAAGAAGGGAATGGTATTTGATTTCTTTGCTGGTAAAATAAATGTGTTGTTTTATAATGCTATGTAATGTATATAGCTAAAAAAGAGATCATTCTTATGTTAAATTCCCCCCTGACAATAATCACTGGAAAGCCTATGAAGGAGAATTACGTTCACATGAGTATCATCAAATTACTAAGTTTGAGAAAAGGACAGAAAGAAGAATAATCAAAAAGCTCTCTTTATTCCTATGTAATACACATTTGCTGTAAGTCCTGCTCCCTACACAAACAAACAGACATGAACAATGGATGAATGAATGCCTGACAAGCAGAGACATCGTTCAGAGGGAGAATATCAAGAGCAGGCAGGGGTATGAAACCCGAGTCTCAAAGTCATATCTGGAAGGAATCTCAGCTATCATCAAGATTGGAGATCAAGTGCAACGGGGGTGGTGTCTCTAATCCCGGGAACATGTGTGAAAGGAATGTGTAAGGAGGAGAAAGAAAAGAAATGGAAATATGGCAGTCAGCAAGCGAGCCCAGGCCCTGGTACGTTTCACCTTCAACCTCCCCCCCCCCCTCCCCCCTCACCTCCCCTCTCCAGAAAAAAATGCCTTTGAATGTCCTCATACAATCATATAATAAAAAGAAATGGAAGAAAAATTTGGACCCAACTTTCATGCCACACATGCTTGAAGTTCCAAATAAACATTTCTGTGTTCAGTGCAGGTGATTTTTAGCAAATTGCATCAATTTCTTTATTTCAAAACCTCATGGTCTAAACAACTGTTAGGTTATCCATATTCAACTTTTTCCTATTGCTTCATTACACTTTCTTCCATGATGTAATTGTATGAACTGTACTTATCTTCATATTCATATAAGTTTCATTGTAAAGCTAAATTTAAAACTAAAAGGTATGTAATAAAGGAGAAGAAACATAATTTTTTTGTTTCCTCAGCACCATGTGGAATTAATATTTCACAAATAAGCTGTGTTTCTTCAGAAAAAAGAAAGAAAATATTCCAGTATATCCAAGGATAACGTGGACTTAATTTCAAGACTTAGAAAATAATTCAAAACAACAACTTCTAACACTTTTTTCAGGAGAAGGCCTTGAACAAGTTCACCACATCATCCCTGAAGATATTCCATAAAAGAGAAAAAAATGTATGAGAGAGGGAGCGAGCAAGGGAGAAAGGGAACAAGCAAGATTTCTTTTATTTTCCTTGAGAGTTTATTGTTTGCATGTTTTCTGTGGCTCTGAAAACACGCCAGGAGGAGATTGGGGAGAGGAGAATTAGGAGGTCAGCTCGCTGTGTAAAGAAACCCAAGAAAATAAGGGTCATTTTGTGTAGTGGTGTAAGCAGAGTCCATGAGGCTGCAAGGCTCAAGTGAGCTAAACTTGGCCCATGTGTCCTTCCAGCGGATTATCTCTCTTAATTTCTTTCAGTTTGAGAGCGAGCCATGCCTTTGGCAGTCTCTGCCAAGCCGTGGCAAGCAGGTGTTGGAAATTGTACCTCTGAAGAATCGGCCTTCGAACAGAGGTGAGAGAAATGGTGGTGAAAACAGCAAGTTCTGAAGCAGCCGAAGAAACATTATGATTTTTTTTATCAACATCATGATTTCATACAATGCGACTTGCTTAGAATGAATACTGAACAATTTCATTAAAAATAGTTGACATTTCTTTTTGGCTAAACCTGGTATATGATTAAAAAAATTGATTGTCAATAAAATGCTATTTTTGTCATCAATTGCATCTGGCTGGTCATTACATAAAAATTTATTGAAAAGACCATAACATAGCTTTGTTCAGCTAAATGCTTATAGGACAATCAATATTCTATACAACGAGAATCTCACATCCACTTTATCTCAAAGGATATGACTATAAGTATAATCGGGAGGCTAATGGATATTGGCGACACTAAAAGTCAGAGCAAGTAGACTTTAAAAACAAAGAAAAACAACAAGGTACTATCAACAGCCCCAGACAGACGGAGACAAGAAGAAAAGGAAAGATGTGCTAACGATTTAATTACATGAGCTACAGCCAGTGGGCATTGACTGCGTGACATAAAGCATGTATGTACCTGCTGCAAAGCCGAATATTGCAGCCTGGATGTACGAAACTCGAAAGAGAGCAAATCTAAAATTGCAACTCAACTAGGAGTAGGATATTTCTTACCCCAGGTGACAGGAAGTAACCATGGCAATGTCTCCGGTTTGAGGATACTGGGGACACTTGAAATTCATTTGGGGTGTCAGCTAGGCTGGATGCTGCAACCATGCTCACTACCTTATGGCATTCATGTGATATGGCATTTTTAGTTTAGGGAGGGGGTGTAATGTACAGTTTGGGTGTAGTGAGTTACCTAATGTACCTTTCCATGTTTTAAAGTATAGATCTCTTTCACTTGAATCTTGAAAGGTCAGTAGTAATAAAATGTAATCCTAAAACAATTTTGCGAAGCTTTAAGTCTTTTCATATGATAAATGTGATCTCTGTTGTTAATTTGAAATTAGTATATATAGCAGTAATTATGTAATGTACCAAATGAGAGAAGCACTTTATAATTTGCTGTGAGTCCTATCATGGGGATGTGAAGGAACATTATGAAAATTGTTACATTTGGGGAAATTTTCATTTGCTGTCTATTTGTTCTTTAGGTTCGTATCATTATCCCACTATACAGACATGTACATGTAACAATTCAGATACCTACATGTTATGTGAGCTTTCATAGAACTTGCTACACATTTAGCAAACTTTATGAAAGAAAAAACAAATCAATCACAATGTCATAACACTCCAGAAGTGCTTCACAAGTTTAGGAAGCAAAATAATAAAAAGTAACTAAATAAAGGGTAAAAAAGACAAACTTTTAATCAAAACTTGAAAATAAGAAGAGGTTGAAAATGTCAGAGTCCTTTTGAAGATCTTCTGCCCATCCAACTGAAGTGTACCTCAAATGAAATTGCTTCAATCCCGGGTGAAACCTACTACGAAGTCCATGGTGAAACCAGCCAATTTTCTGGGATGGCAAATGAGAGGATTTCTCTTTTCCCCTGTTCTTGCACCAAGAACATCTTATCTTGCGAAACCTGATAAATGGGTCATCTACGCTAATCATCTATTAGTCACCGCGGAGCTTGAGTGCCCGTGGTCGGCTCCTGTTTCAAGCGTGCTCTCTTTTGGGCGCTTTTTCCCCCTCGCCTTTTCTCCTTTATTCTCCCTTATGAAAGTGTTGCGAAGATTGCGTGGACAATTGGCCCGAGAGGGGATGGACGGGGGCCCCGTGATGGGTTGATAAGTGAGAAGAAAGAGGAATATCATTACAACTTGGAGCACACTCAAACAACCCTCCACAATGCCAAGGCAGGAGATGAAGCTTATTCAAATCATGCTTTCAGGAGGGATTTCCAGGTAGCCCAGTTTAGCAGAACCATACCCTATACCTACAGAACAAGTTTGCAAATCAAGATATCCCGTTACCTGAGAAAAAACTTGAGATGGATGCATTTCTTGATTACCACTTGTGTGAGAGAGAAATACACACACTAGAAAAACCACTGAGAGTTAGGAGATGTGCTTGGAAGCATATTTCAGCAATTTAATATCAAACACAAAGATAGAAGGACTTTGTACCAACTTTATGTTTTCCCTTGATAGAATGCAACCATGAACTTTATATATATATATATATATACTGAGTACAATCTTAGTTCACAAATGATGTATAACTCTCAAAAAAAGAAATGCGATTCAGAGAGCTCGATACAGCATGAAAATTGATCATAAACTACAAGGAAAAATGAGCTTTTATCAATTAGAAAGAAAACTAATGTGAACAATATGCCTAAACATCACTTTCTGGAATAACTGCAAAGTTTCAGACAAGATATCAACTAAAAAGTCTAAATGGAAAATATATGCACATCAGTATGATGGTGGATAAGATTTAAAGAGATTGTATGTGCAGAAATTGTTCTCTCGTCATACAAAGCCATTTCCCGGAATAGCAAAATGAGAAGACAGTCTTGATTCTACTTCTTCTTTTGTGCGTACACTTCGAAGGAAGAAACAGTAAATGAATGAGATGCTTCAGCATAAAACATAGGCATGTAGATAAACAGTGAAAAGAGAGTATAACTACATGTACAAGAGGAACAGCAATGG